AGCGCGAGATCGAGAGCACGCTGACGCACGCCAACAACATCCCCTCTGTCAGGTACTACCAAAAATACTACCAAAAATACTACAAATACTACTACACACGCCAACAACATCCCCTCTGTCAGGTACTGCTAAAAATACTACCAAAAATACTACAAATACTACTACACACGCCAACAACATCCCCTCTGTCAGGTACTGCCAAAAATACTACCAAAAATACTACAAATACTACTACACACGCCAACAACATCCCCTCTGTCAGGTACTGCCAAAAATACTACCACAAAAATACTACAAATACTACTACACACGCCAACAACATCCCCTCTGTCAGGTACTGCCAAAAATACTACCAAAAATACTACAAATACTACTACACACCAACAACATCCCCTCTGTCAGGTACTGCTAAAAATACTACCAAAAATACTACAAATACTACTACACACGCCAACAACATCCCCTCTGTCAGGTACTGCCAAAAATACTACCAAAAATACTACAAATACTACTACACACGCCAACAACATCCCCTGTCAGGTACTGCTAAAAATACTACCAAAAATACTACAAATACTACTACACACCAACAACATCCCCTCTGTCAGGTACTGCTAAAAATACTACAAAAATACTATGAATACTACGCATGCCAACAACATCCCCTCTGTCAGGTACTGCTAAAAATACTACGAAATATACTACAAAATATACTACGAATACTACTACACACGCCAACAACCCCTCTATCAGGTATTACCAAAAATACTACAAAATATATTACGAATACTACACACGCCAACAACATCCCCTCTGTCAGGTACTGCCAAAAATACTACCAAAAATACTACAAATACTACTACACGCCAACAACATCCCCTCTGTCAGGTACTGCCAAAAATACTACCAAAAATACTACAAATACTACTAAATACATGCCAACAACATCCCCTCTGTCAGGTACTGCTAAAAATACTACGAAAAATACTACAAATACTACTACGCACACGGCAACAACATCCCCTCTGTCAGGTACTGCTAAAAATACTGCGAAAAATACTATGAATACTACTACGCACGCCAACAAATATCCCCTCTTTCAGGTACTGCCTAAAAAATACTACAAATACTACTACACACCAACAACATCCCCTCTGTCAGGTACTGCTAAAAATACTACAAAAATACTATGAATACTACGCATGCCAACAACATCCCCTCTGTCAGGTACTATGAAAAATACTACGAAAAATACTAACAATACTACTACACACGCCAACAACATCCCCTCTGTCAGGTATTACCAAAAATACTACGAAAATACTACTACACACGCCAACAACATCCCCTCTGTCAGGTACTGCTAAAAATACTACGAAAAATACTACAAATACTACTACACACGCCAACAACATCCCCTCTGTCAGGTACTGCTAAAAATACTACAAATACTACTACACACCAACAACATCCCCTCTGTCAGGTACTGCAAAAAATACTACCAAAAATACTACAAATACTACTACACACGCCAACAACATCCCCTCTGTCAGGTACTGCTAAAAATACTACCAAAAATACTACTACTACGCCAACGCAACAACATCCCTCTGTCAGGTACTGCCAAAAATACTACAAAAATACTTTTAATACTACTACACACGCCAACAACATCCCCTCTGTCAGGTACTGCCAAAAATACTACAAAAATACTATGAATACTACGCATGCCAACAACATCCCCTCTGTCAGGTACTGCCAAAAATACTGCGAAAAATACTACAAATACTACTATGCATGCCAACAACATCCCCTCTGTCAGGTACTATGAAAAATACTACGAAAAATACTACAAATACTACTACACACACCAACAACATCCCCTCTGTCAGGTACTATCAAAAATACTATGAATACTACACACACCAATATCATCCCCTCTGTCAGGTATTGTGAAAAATACTACGAATGTAAATGTTCAAAGTACCATTAAAGATGCAGTATTGTACAAAATCGACTTTTTGGGGCAGTCTCCCGCTCTTTAAATTCACTTATGGCACAGGTTTTGCTCAAACACCTGGAGGTTTGGAGGGCAGCCGCGAGGTCTTAAAAAGGTCTTAAATTCTGTTGTCCAAGTCTTATTTTTTTTCACAAAGGTCTTAAATTTCATTAGCCTATTTTTTTGTTTACTCAACCAGGCTGCAGTGCAATGTCAATGTAAGGAGGGAAAACAACAACAATGTGAAATAACATGAACGAGCGTCTAATTTGGAGCATGCGCAAGCAATACTTTGGTTTTTGGCGCCGGCGGCAAAAGATGCAAAATTCTGGTCAGATGTGCTCATGTTGTGTACACATTTACTTCACATGCATCATCACCGAGCGTCACCACCGAGCCGCCTGACATGCATACACAATCCAATTCCACACACATTTGCGTCACCATATGCACGCACATCTCCTCCTGAAAACACTTCTGTTCAGACCATCATCATATAAACATAGGCTTAGTCTTAGATCTTAGATCTGCTGATCAGGAGACATGATCAACAGGTAAAAACACACCTTAGGTACCAGGAACGACAGATAAAAACACACCTTAGGTACCAGGAACGACAGATAAAACAACCTTAGGAACAACAAAAGGTAAAAATATACTTAGGAACTGGAACAACAGTAAAACACACCTTAGGTAAAACGACAGATAAAAACACACCTTAGGTACCAGGAACGACAGATAAAAACACACCTTAGGTACCAGGAACGACAGATAAAAACACACCTTAGGAGACAGGGACAAAAGGTAAAAATATATCTTAGGAACTGGGAACAACCAGTAAAAACACACCTTAGGGGACAGGAACAACAGGTAAAAACACCTTAGGAAACAGGGAAAACAGGTAAAAACACATTTTAGGAGACAGGGAGGGCAGGTAAGTACACACCTTAGGTACCAGGAACGACAGATAAAAACACACTTTAGGAGACAGGGACAATAGGTAAAAACACTTTAAGAACAGGGACAACAAGTAAAAACACACTTTAGGAGACAAGGACGACTGGTACCAACCAAAACCAGAGATGTCTCAGTTTCCCAGTTTTTTATTTTGAAATGGTCACCCTAAACCACACAGAAGTGAAATTGACATAGGGCACAGTTTTTGTTGAAACCCCTGGACGATTGGAGGATTGTTCACAGTTTTGTCGTTGTCGTCTCTGTGTTCAGTCTGGCGGAGCTGCTGCACATGTCCGTTCAGATCGCCTCCGGGATGAAGTATCTGGCGTCTCTGAACTTCGTGCATCGAGATCTGGCCACGAGGAACTGCCTCCTGGACCGACGGCTCACCATCAAGATCTCAGACTTCGGCATGAGCAGGAACCTCTACAGCAGCGACTACTACAGGATCCAGGGCCGAGCCGTGCTGCCCATACGCTGGATGGCCTGGGAGAGCATCCTACTGGTACTGGACCAGGCCTCAAACTGGACCAGGACTAGACCAGGACTCAAACTGGACTAAAACAGGACTGAGACGGGACTAAAACTAAACTGGAACGGACGCAGAGCTAAAACTAGACTCGGACTGGACCAGGACTAAAACTGGACAAAAACAGGAGGAGGACTGGACCAGGACTGAAACAACATCGGGACTGGACCAGGACTAAAACTGGACTGGGACTAGACCAGGACTCAAACTGGACTAAAACTAAAACTAAACTGGAATGGAAGCAGAGCTAAAACTAGACTGGGACTGGACCAGGATTAAAACTGGACTAAAACAGGAGGAGGACTGGACCAGGACTAAAGCAACACCAGGACTGGACCAAGACTAAAACAGGACTGAACCAGTATTGAGACAGAGCTTAAAACAGGACTGAATGAGGTCTAAAACTAAACTGTAACGGGAGCAGGACTAAAACTATACTGGGGCTGGACCAGGACTAAAACAGGACTAAAGCTGGACTGGACTGGTACTGGACCAGGACTAAAATTGGACCAGGACTGAACCAGTTCTAAAACTAAACTGGAACAGAATCAGGGCTAAAACTAGACTGGGATTGAACCAGGACTGAAACTGGGCTAAAACAGGAGAGGGACTGGACTAGGACTAAAACAGGACTGAACCAGTATTGAGACAGGATTAAAGCAGGACTGGGCCAGGGCTAAAACTGAACTGGAACAGAAGCAGGGTTAAAACTAGACCAGGATTGGTCTAGTACTAAAACTGGACAGGGCTGGACCAGGACTAAAACTGAACTAAAACAACACAGGGATTGGAACAGGACTAAAGCAGGACTGAACCAGGGCTAAAACTAAACTGGAACAGAAGCAGGACTAATAGTTTTAGTCCTGCTTCTGTTCCGAGCTGGGACTTAAACAGGACTATAGCTGGACTAGACTGGTACTGGACCAGGACTAAAACTAGACTCTTACTAAAACAAGACTGAGGCAGGACCGAAATGGGAGCAAAGCACGACTGGACTGGTACTTTTACCGGGACTGAACCGGGACTTGTCTTGCATATTAGGTTCCGTCCTGGTCTAGTCCTTCTTTAGTCCTTTAGCTTTCCCATGTTTAGTTCTGGTTTAGTCCTGGTCTATCTCTGCTCTAGTCCTGGGTCACTTCTGATTTAGTCTTTCTTCAAACCTCTTTAAGTCTTGGTCTTAGCCCTGGTTTAATCCTGGTCTAGCCCCGGTCTAGCCCCGGTCTAGCCCCGGTCCTCCCCGGTTCACCCATGTCTCTTCTTGCAGGGGAAGTTCACGACGGCGAGTGACGTGTGGGCGTTCGGAGTCACTCTGTGGGAGATGTTCACTCTGTGTAAAGAGCAGCCGTACTCTCTGCTGTCGGACGAGCAGGTCATCGAGAACACTGGAGAGCACTTCAGGAACCAGGGACGACAGGTAAACACAGACGGGGACGACGGGTAAACACAGACGGGGACGACAGGTAAACACAGACGGGGACGACAGGTAAACACAGACAGACGGGACGACAGGTAAACACAGACAGACAGGGACGACAGGTAAAACACAGACCGGGACGACAGGTAAACACAGACAGGGGACGACAGGTAAACACAGACGGGACGACAGGTAAACACAGACAGGGACGACAGGAAACACAGACAGGGGACGACAGGTAAACACAGACAGGGACGACAGGGACGACAGGTAAACGACAGACAGGGACGACAGGTAAACACAGACGGGGACGACAGGTAAACACAGACAGTAAACACAGGGACGACAGGTACAACACGACACAGACAGGGACGACAGGTAAACACAGACAGGGACGACAGGTAAACACAGACAGGGACGACAGGTAAACACAGACGGGGACGACAGGTAAACACAGACGACGGGGACGACAGGTAAACACAGACGGGGACGACAGGTAAACACAGACGGGGACGACAGGTAAACACAGACGGGGACGACAGGTAAACACAGACGGGGACGACAGGTAAACACAGACAGGGGACGACAGGTAAACACAGACAGGGACGACAGGTAAACACAGACAGGGACGACAGGTAAACACAGACAGGGGACACAGGTAAACACAGACAGGGACGACAGGTAAACACAGACAGGGACGACAGGTAAACACAGACAGGGACGACAGGTAAACACAGACAGGGACGACAGGTAAACACAGACAGGGACGACAGGTAAACACAGACAGGGACGACAGGTAAACACAGACGGGGACGACAGGTAAACACAGACGGGGACGACAGGTAAACACAGACACACGGGTAAACACAGACGGGACGACAGACGACAGTAAACACAGACAGGGACGACAGGTAAACACAGACGGGACGACAGGTAAACACAGACAGGGACGACAGGTAAACACAGACAGGACGACAGGTAAAACAGACAGACAGGTAAACACAACGACACGGGTAAACAGACAGGGAGACAGGTAACACAGACGACAGGTAACACAAGACAAGACAGGTAAACACAGACAGGACGACAGGTAAACACAGACAGGGACGACAGGTAAACACAGACAGGGACAACAGGGACGACAGGTAAACAGACAGGGACGACAGGTAAACACAGACGGGGACGACAGGTAAACACAGACGGGGACGACAGGTAAACACAGACAGGGACGACAGGTAAACACAGACAGGGACGACAGGTAAACACACACGGGACAGACAGGGACGACAGGTAAACACAGACAGGGACGACAAGGTAAACACAGACAGGGACGACGGGTAAACACAGACAGGGACGACAGGTAAACACAGACAGGACGACAGGTAAACACAGACAGGGACAGGTAAACACACAGGGACGACAGGTAAAACACAGACAGGACGACAGGTAAACAGACAGACAGGGGACGACAGGTAAACACAGACAGGGACGACAGGTAAACACAGACAGGGACAGGTAAACACAGACAGACAGGTAAACACGACAGGGACGACAGGTAAAACAGACAAGACAGGGACGACAGGTAAACACAGACACGGGACGACAGGTAAACACGACAGGTAAACACAGACAGGGACGACAGGGACACAGACAGGGACGACAGGTAAACACAGACAGGGACGACAGGTAAACACAGATGGGGCAAAAGGGACGTCAGAGACACAATGTTCCAAGCAGGAAGTGAGGATGGGCGGAAGTCCTGATTCCTGAATCCGGATTCCAGAGTCCGATTCCTGATCCCAATTCCCGAGTCCTGATTCCCGAGTTTGAGGCCCAGTTCCCGAGTGTGAGTGCCGATTATCAATTCCTGAGTGCAAGTTTGGATTCCCGAGTGTGAGTCCCGATTCCCGAGTCCCAATTCCCAAGTTTGATTCCCGAGTGTGAGTCCTGATTCCCAAGTCTAAATTCCAAAGTCCCGAGTCCTGATTCCTGAGTGTGAGTCCCAAGTCTCGTTTCCCGAGTTTGAGTCCCAATTCCTGACTGTCCTGATTCCCGTGTCCTGATTCCAGAGTCTGATTCCCAATCCCAATTCCCGAGAGTGAGTTTCGATTCCCGAGTGTGAGTCCCGATTCCCAAATGTGAGTCCCAATTATCGATTCCTGAATGCGAGTTCCGATTCCCGAGTGTGAATTCCGATTCCTGATTCCTGAGTTTGAGTCCCGATTCCCGAGTTTGTGTCCCAGTTCCTGAGTCTCCATCATCTCCGTTTCACTTTCTGCTGATTCTGTCCAGATTTTCCCGTTTTAATCCCGTCTACTGTTGTGTTTGTTCCAGATTTTCCTGTACGCTCCTCCGCTCTGTCCTCCCTCTCTGTTTGAACTCATGATGCGCTGCTGGAGCCGAAACATCCAGGACCGGCCCACGTTTGAGGGGCTGTACCAGGCGCTCAGACCCCACGCCCAGTGACAGAGGAACCAAAGGAACCAAAGGAACCCGGCAAAAGAACCAAAGGAACCCAAAACTTCACCGGAACTCTACCAAAAATGAGGCTGTACCAGGCGCTGAGAACCCATGCCCAGGAAATCCAGCCACCTGAACCAAAAAAACTTAACCGAGCCTCCGCCAAAAAAAAAACACCAATCCATTCGGAACGCCGCCTGCACTCAAACGTTTCAACCGGTAACAAATGAAAAAAAAACATGTGACAAAAGGAACCAGAAGCACAACCATGAAACTTCACCGAAACTTCACCAAAACTCAACGGAAAGAGAGCGTTCCAGAGACTCCGTGTCCAGGGAGCAGCCAAAAGAACCAAAGGAACCAGGGAAAAATGTCTAAACTGGGTCAGGTCGGATCACAATCGGTGGACTGAACTCCTTCCTCTTCTGTATCACACCGTTCACCTGGATCTGTTTTCTCAAAACCGCCGCACTTTTCTCTCCTCGTCCGCTCTCCTCTTTCATCCTCATCCTCTCTCCTTGGCTGAGTCCAAATGTCCACTCCAGCCCCAAACCCCTCAAACAAATTCCTCAAACACTCCACAGACCTGCACACAGTTGCCACGTTTACATGAGAGCTTTAATTCCGAATAAAAACTATTTAATTCTGAATAAAAATTAATTCTGATTTAAAAAGACCATATAAACACTTAATTCCCAAGTCCTGATTCCCGAGCGTGAGTACCGAGTCCAGATTCCTGAGTTTGAGTCCCAATTTCGGAGTTCCGATTCCTGAGTGTGAGTCACGATTCCCGAATTTGAGTCCCGATTCCCGAGAGTGATTCCCGAGAGTGAGCCCCGATTCCTGAGTGTGAAAATGATTATTCGGAATTAAACTTAATTCCAATGTAAGTGGGTGGTTTATTCAGATTTTAAAGCCGAATTAATTTATTCCTGGATCATGTAAAGGTTTATTCTTCTTAAAAATAATTCCGGTCGTTCGGTGCATGCTTGTTGGGTCGCCCTTCTGACGCAATCCAGACGATCCGGCTCCAGCAGTCCTGGCTTCGGACTGTCATCCATGTCTCTGTGGGAGTGGGCTGAGGTAGAACAGCCGTTGACTCAGTTTGTCTTCTTCCTCTCTTCGCCGACACTCTTCCCTTCTCCTCCTCAGCCGACAGACGTAAAGCGTGACGAGAGAAATCTCCAGCTGCTGCGCAATTATCATCGGAACGACTACGGCAAAAGTTTGGATGGTGTTTGTGTCCGTGGTGTAACGACAAACCGAGATGACAGAAAAGTCGGTAGCAGCTGAAGTGTGTGTTTTCTTCCGGTCGACATAAATACGCTCGTGTCCCTGTCCGATCAGAACCCTTCGGAATTAAATAAAGGCAATTTAACATGTTTTCCATGTAAACCTCAATTTGGAATTATTATTTACATGTAAACTCGAAGGGGAATATTTTAATTCAGAACTATTTAACTCAGAATTAAAACCATCATGTAAACGTGGCCACAGAGAGATTTGGACTCACAGCTCACTGCGGTCCAGAGTTTAGAGTCTTATACTTCCGGATGAACAGTTCATTAAAACAAAACACTTGTCTCTGTCCGCTGTTGTTTTTCCGATTCTCCCAGTGCATTGTGGTCTTTGATGACTGGACACTACTTTTCACAGGGCATTGTGGGAAATTTTGAGTGCACTACATTTTCACTCACTGGACATTTGGACAGGACTAAACACGGCGTGACCCCTGAACAGGCCCTAAGGAGGGGACAGAGTGGACATTCAGACCCAGACCTGTCACTGCCCGATTTGGAACCTTTAATTTAACACTTTGAACTCTTTTACACGTGCTTATTGTGTTTTCTGAGCTGGAGTCTGAACTGTAGTCCCAGCTGTAGTCCAGGATGTAGTCCAGGGTGTAGTCCAGGGTGTAGTCCAGGGTGTAGTCCAGGATGTAGTCCAGGATGTAGTCCAGGGTGTAGTCCAGGGTGTAGTCCAGGATGTAGTCCAGGGTGTAGTCCCAGCTGTAGTCCAGGGTGTAGTCCAGGGTGTAGTCCTGTAGTCCAGGTGTAGTCCAGGGTGTAGTCCCAGGGTGTAGTCCAAGGTGTAGTCCAGGGTGTAGTCCAGGTGTAGTCCAGGGTGTAGTCCAGGGTGTAGTCCAGGGTGTAGTCCAGGGTGTAGTCCAGGGTGTAGTCCAGGGTGTAGTCCAGGGTGTAGTCCAGGGTGTAGTCCAGGGTGTAGTCCAAGGTGTAGTCCAGGGTGTAGTCCAGGTGTAGTCCAGGGTGTAGTCCAGGATGTAGTCCAGGGTGTAGTCCAGGTGTAGTCCAGGGTGTAGTCCAGGTGTAGTCCAGGGTGCAGTCCAGGGTGTAGTCCGAGCTGGACCAGAGCTGGAGTCCGACCTGTAGTCTGACCTGTAGTCCGAGCTGGAGTACGACCTGTAGTCCGTGCTGTAGTGTGACCTGTAGTCCAAGTTGAGGTCCGAGCTTGGAGTCCAAGCTGGAGTCCGACCTGGAGTCCGACCTGGAGTCCGACCTGGAGTCCGAACTGTAGTCCGAGTTAGAGTCCAAGCTGGAGTCCGACCTGGAGTCCGACCTGGAGTCCGACCTGGAGTCCGACCTGGAGTCCGAACTGTAGTCCGAGCTGTAGTCCGACCTGTAGTCCGAGCTGCAGTCCGAGCTGTAGTCCGAGCTGTAGTCCAAGCTGGAGTCCGACCTGGAGTCCGACCTGGAGTCCGAGCTGTAGTCCGAGCTGGACTCCGACCTGGAGTCCAAGCTGGAGTCCGAGCTGGACTCCGACCTGGAGTCCGAACTGTAGTCCAAACTGGAGTCCGAACTGTAGTCCGAGTTAGAGTCCAAGCTGGAGTCCGACCTGGAGTCCGAACTGTAGTCCAAACTGGAGTCCGAGCTGTAGTCCGAGCTGTAGTCCGAGCTGTAGTCTGAGCTGTAGTCCGAGCTTTAGTCCGTGCTGGAGTCTAAGCTAGACTCCGACCTGTAGTCCGAGCTGTAGTCCGAGCTGTAGTCCGAGCTGTAGTCCGACCTGTAGTCCGAGCTGTAGTCCGAGCTGTAGTCCGACCTGTAGTCCGAGCTGGAGTCCGAGCTGGGGTCCGAGCTGGAGTCCGAGCTGGGGTCCGACAAGCTGAAGTCCAACCTGTAGTCCGATCCGTAGTCCGAGCTGGAGTTCGAGCTGGAGTCTAAAACGGAGACCGACCTGTAGTCTGTGCTGGAGTCCGACCTTTAGTCCAAGCTGGAGTCCGACCCGTAGTCCGACCTGTAGTCCGACCTGTAGTAGTCCGACCTGTAGTCCGACCTGTAGTCCGACCTGTAGTCCGACCTGTAGTCCGAGCTGGTTCTGTGCGTCCCTGCTTCAAAAAAAGTCACCAAATCGGGCACTGACACGCCGTCCTCTCCTGTCTTTTTGTTTCGTCAGACATGTTGTTTAGTGGGACATGTTTCCGTGGACTTTATGGCGCCAAAGGTGCTGCTGTCTGAGCGTCTGTGGGCGGAGCCGTGCCCTCCTGTGGTCTTTTTGTGGTCTCACACTTTTGTACTTTTTATTTTAATGTTAAGCACTGTTTGTCTTACCGATCATCGCTATATTACCCACACTGGAGCTAGGGCTAGTGTTAGTCATAGAGTTTATTTTTCTGATTATTTTTTTCTGTAGATTTGTGTCTTTGTTGTGAATGTGTCGAACCTGTGGGTGAAGGGACGAGGCGAGTTTTTAATAAATATTTTTGACCAAAGAAAGAACTAAAGATCGTTTCATTTGAATAAAACTGTGTACACAAGTCCACCGGGGTTTTGTGCTTTTTAAACAAACTTTTGTGTCGAACTGAGCCAGGACTAAACTAGAACTGAACCAGGACTAAATCAGCACTGGACAAGGACTAAACTAGAACTGAACCAGGACTAAATCAGCACTGGACAAGGTCTAAACTAGAACTAAACCAGGAGTGGACCGAGACCAAACCAGGACTGAATCAGAGCTGGACCAGGACTAAATTAGTACTAAACCAGGACTGAACCAGCGCTGGACCACGTCTAAACCAGGACTAAACTGGAGCTGATCTAGTACTGAACCAGGATTAAACTAAGACTAAACCAGGACTATAACCAAGACTTAGAACTAAATCTGGAACTGACCCAGGTAGGGTCTAAACTAGGACTGAACCAGCACTGGACCAGGACTATACTAGGACTACATCAGAACTGATTAAGTACTGAACCAGAATGAAACAAAGTCTAAACCAGAACTTTAACCAGGGCCTAAATCAGGACTAAAACCAGGACTGATCTAGTACTGAACTAGGATTAAACTAGAACTAAACCAGACCATCAGTATTAAACCAGGATTAAATCAGAATTTGAACCGGGGACTAAACCAGGACTATAACCAAAACTAAATTAGAACTAAACCTGGAACTGGCCCAGGTTGGGACTAAAACCAGGCCTGATCTAGTACTAAACCAGGATTAAACCAGGACTGAATGAGGACTGAAGCGTGGTGTTGAAGTTTACAGTTTGTACTTTATTTACAGTTCTGTGCATCCCACACAAAGATTAAAATATAAATAGCGACACTCAGAAGCTCACGACAAAAGGCGGATTATTTCAGACGCTCCTTCGATTTAGTGTGAGATTAATACGACTCAAATGTACAAGAAAAACAACACGGACTGAACGAAACTCAGGACGTCGGGGGGTCAGAACAGAGCCAGGACCAGGACTGGACCAGGACTGGACCAGCTCTAACCCAGGACTAGATCATGACTAAATCAAGACTGAACCACAACTGAACCAGGTCTAATCCAGGTCTAAACCGGGACTAAGCCAGGTCTGAACCAAGTCTAAACCAGGTCTAACCCAGTACAAATCCAGGACTGAACCAGGTCTAACCCAGGACTAGATCAAGACTAAATCAAGATTGAACTACAAGTGAACCAGGTCTAAACCAGATCTAAACCACCACTAAGCCAGGTCTGAACCAGTACTGATCCAGAACTGAACCAGGACTAGGTCAGGACTAAATCAAGACTGAACGAGGTCTAAACCAGGACTAAACCGAGTCTGAGCCAGGTCTGAACCAGGTCTAAACCAGATCTACACCAGGACTGAACCAGGGTTTAAACCTGAACTACAGACCTAATTTAGTCCTGGTTAATCTTGGTTTAGTTCTGATTTAGACCCCAGTTCAGTCCAGGTTTAATTCTGATTTAGACCCTAGTTCAGTCCGGGTTTATCTCTAGTGCAGACTCTGAACTAGGACTAAATCAGGACCGAACCAGGGTCTAAAACCAGAACTACAGACCTAGTTTAGACCTGGTTAATCTTAGTTAGTTCTGATTTAGACTGTGGTTCAGTCCTGGTTTAGTTCAGATTTAGACCCTGGCTCAGTCTGGGTTTAGTTCTCGTGCAGACTTTGAACTAGAACTAAACCAGGACTGGTCCAGGCCGGCTTGAACCAGGATTTAAATCAGAACTAAATAAACCAGAACTGAACCTCGGCCTAAACCTGGACTAAACCAGGACTCTCGAGACGACCCCAAACGTCCTGCATGTTATTTACAAAGAAAGTTTAAGGCAATGGTCGGAATAAAAAGCTACCGTTTCAAATCATTTTGGTCCTCGTTTAAAAAGGACAAAAACAGAGAATAAATGTAAACAAACACAAGAATCATTTTAAAACAGAATTTGGAGATTTTTTTTTGTGTGTGTGTTTTTTTTGGTCACAACATTTAAACAATTTGTATTTTTGTGAGTTTCATTCGGGACTCTGCAACGTTCTTTTCGCCCAGGTAACGATTAAAGGGGCGGTGTTTTATTTCACGTGACGTATTTCCGATCACCGCGAGTGGAGTTAGTTTCACTTTCGTTTTTGACGCATTCTGGAGCAGTTTGTATCAAGCTAAAACAAGTCTTAGCCATCGTCAAATCGGTAGGAGTTAAATATGAGCAATGAAATACTGAAATAACGTAATCTGAATTTTAAAGTACACGTAACTACTACTACTACTACTACTACTACTAGGAATACTCACTTTTACACTCATCGCGGTGAATATTTACGACGTTCTTAATGCATCAAGTAAGTAAGAAATAACTGTGAACCACTACGAACCGTTTCAAATGAATTAGATTTGGGTTTTTTTACGTTTTTAAGGCTATAAAAATCCGGTACAGTGTTTAGTAGAAAAACTGAACTGTAGGGGGCGCTGTAAGGCAAAGATCGTCGCAGAGTCCCATTCTAAAACAGGGTATTTGTAGGTTAAATAAAAATTCACTTTTGGTTTGAAAGTGTTGCGTTCGCTGCAGAGAGAGTGAGATGTGGGTGTGTCCTCAGCAGGTTCAATCATCATTATTTATCATTATTTATCATTATTATCATTATCATTATTATCATTATTATTATTATTATTATTATATAACACATTTTACATTGAAATCAATAACCGTCAAATTAGGTAAAGTTTTGCATGAAAACCAGGGAAGTGGAGACATTACTGAGAAGTCTTCGTCAACGGGTCATGATCAGTTTTCAGAATCTGGTGTCACAATTTCAGATGGAGGCCGGGGTTTATATAACTTTATGATTCACAGTTTTCGAAAGAAATCTCCAAATTTATGGTCCACAATTACGGAATGTTCTAGTTTAGTAGGAATCGTGTGCAGACGTTTTCTGTACTCATCGTTTCTGGTTTAAAAGTTCCCATATTACGCAAAATTTGACTCAGAATTTGACTCGTAAGATTTAAGTCATGGCCTGGAGTTGTGTTTCGTTTCATTCACACAAGTTTGAGTAACTCTTTATTATTCATCTGTGTTCATCTCCAAACATCAAAATGCTCTGTTCCACCTTGTGATGTCATGAACAGACTGTGCAATTGAATTTTGATCGCAATTTCTATTTGTGTTAAATGATCTCCAAACTCATATAATCGAGTTGAAAAGCTTAACGTTAAAGTTTATTTTGGAATATTTTTTACATAAATAAGTATATAAATAAGTATAAGTTTAATTATTATTTTTTAAATATAGAGATTGTAGAACAGCTGGATATATACCGTATTTTCTGCACTATAATTTCATCCAAAAAAAACTAGTGCGTGCCTTATAATCCAGAGCGCCTTATATATGAATTTATTGGGGTGTCTTAGTACGACTTTAGTAAACTACAAAGCCGCACCACTTGCAGCATTACGACTCCCGTAGTCAGGAGTCAGGAGGAGCATCAGGAGTAATACATACTGTTATTCCTTTTAATATCAAAATGCACCTGTCAAGAGACACGCTCACAACGCCCACTTTAAACTCAAGACTGTTCTAAAGTGAAAGTGCGTTTAGCTGCGTGGGAGCAGTGGATGAGAGAAGGAGAACACACATTCACCAAGACAGAGAGACAGCGCCGAGCCACTTACGCCACGATCTGCCAACGGATCTTGGACGCCCGGGCTCAGGATCAGGATCAACTGTGGTCCGAGCTTTCACCAAGACCAGAATCATCACTGAACTGCCAGGGAACAGTAACCACACTGACGAGAGATAATGACCAGAGGGATGTGGACGCTGTAATCGCCAAACTGTTTCAACAGTTATGAGTTATTGTGAATACGATAACAATTTAGCGTCTCAGACAGTATTTTTTGTACTTTTAGTACTTTTTCAACTGAAAAAGTTGAGCGTTACTGTGAACGCATTAAATAAAGTTTGACTGATTTATCTAACTGTTGTGTTTCGTTTAATGCGCCTTCACAGTCCGGTGCGGTTTATTTGTGAAAAAAGTTTAAAAATAGACCATTCAATGCGCCTTATAATCCAGAGCGCCCTATAGTGCACAAAATATGGTAGTTTATTTTGGATACATTTGTTTTTCTATGCTTTATTTCATGTTCAAAGTTTTATTCATTTTATGTTTTATACATCGCAAAACTGTTCTAAGGTGCATATTTGGAGATTTTATTTATTTTCAATTTGAAAGTTTTGCATAAATTATCAATAACAAAGTGCTTTTGTTGACAGAGAAATGCTGAATAAATGCATCATGTAACTAAAAAAAATAATCATTTGAATAATCGTGATTTCAATATTGACCAAAATAATTGTGCTGATGATTTTTTCCATAGTCGAGCAGCCCTGGCTTTAGTTCAGTCGAGAACGGCAATTCCAGGTTTGAAATGATCCAAATGATTCTTTTGAAAATGCTGAACCAGGACTAGATCAAGACTAAATCAAGATTGAACCACAAATGAACGAGGTCTAAACCAGGTCTAAACCAGGTCTAATCCAGGACTAGACCAGGACTAAATCAAGACTGAACCAGGACTACTCAATGACTGAACTATGACTGAACCAGGTCTAAACCAGGACTAAACCAGGACTATTCTATTCACGAGGTGGAATAGAGTTTTTTTCTGTTTGAGAGAAGAACTAAATCTGCAGAGTTTGTGTTTTAAACATGTGTGAATGAAACAAAACACAATTCCGGGTCTGTTTGTGATGAGGAAACATTAGAACACAGATCAGAAAATGGCGTAATATGGGCGGTTTAAAGGTGCTGAAGCTGTTGTGAATAAAACATTTAACTTTTGTGTATTTTCACTGACAGAGAAGATGCCGAGTTTTGGTTTCTGGTGGGTAGGTGCAGTAATTAAAGAGATATGAACCACAAACCAGGTCAAACATCTGCATTTGGATCTGAAGGAGCAGATTCAGAACTCAGACCCGTCCTCCATCTTAAATCTGATGAACCGATCGACAGTAAAAACAGGAGCTCAAAGTGTCGTTTCATTTTCCCCACAGACAGAGGTGTGTTTGAGAGTCTGACGGAGGCTGCTCGGCTTCGACGCAACTCACATCAAACATCGATACGCGTCCCGATCGACCGCAAAGTTCTACATTCATTTTGACATCTGTTATTTTCGTTTTGTTTGTGATTCAGATGTGACGGAGGGCGAGGGCAGAGCGTTTAAAGAAGCGGACTGAGGGAAAGTGATTCCAAACGAAGCTCATCGAGGCCGGCGGTTACAGCGGCAAATCTGCAAACGGGGGCCGTATTTGGAAATGCAAGAGCCAAATCAAAGAGCCAATCAAGAGCGGGGTCGTTAAAGGCACATGTCCCTTTATGTTCACGCCACAACAAGAGTGTCGATCGAACCTGTTGCTGAGTGACCTCGAGGAAAGCTGGCGTCCGACGGTCTGTTATTAACGTTCATGTTTCAATTTAGGGACAAAATTGTGAAAAAACCAGGTTCACGTAGAGCGGATTAGTACAAAAATTTTAAAGAGTGTGAGAGCAGCAGTTACAGAGAAAAGGGCGGTGGCTTTTCAACAAAAAATAAACTGTACCCAGAGTCAATGGAGCCGGAAGTGTGCCCAAACTCACTCCCTGTTCGGAATGTGGTGTCTTAGCTATGTCCACTTTTTATAAACACACGAAGGGTTAAACGATAGACTCCGTTCACGCTTACGTCACAAACCAAGAAGATGTTTGACTTACGGTGTAGTTCCCAGCACTGTGCTGTGATAAAACCCATGTGCTGTTTGGAATTATCTGGAATTTGGCTCCTCATTTCTTCTCATCACATGTCCCCAGTGCGCTCGGAGAAATGATGAAAACTGAGGCATGGTTGCAAATGTCAATTACGCAAACACTGGCCGTGTTCACATAATGTTTTTTTTTTATTTCGAATAATTTGTTCTACATTTAAAATTACAGAATTAAAATATTCTCCTTCGAGTTTACATGGAAAACTTGTTAAATTGTCTAATTATCTAATTCCGCTCAATGTCTGGGGGTGGGGAAGGTTCTGATTGGACAGAGACATGAACGTATTTACATCGACCCGAAGAAAACACAGACTTCAGCTGCTACCGGCTGTTCTGTCATCTCGGTTTGTCGTTATGCCACAGACACAAACACGATCCAAACTTTTTCCGCTATTGTTTCGATTTGTTATGTCTGTCAGCTGAGGAGATGGGAAGAGTGTCGTAGAAGGGAGGAAGAAGACAAACTGAGTCTGAGGCTGCTCTACCTCAGCCCACTCCCGCATCCAGCTCGCAAATCCAAAGAGACATGGATGAAAGTTTAAAGCCAGGACTGGTGGAGCCGGATCGTCTGGATCGCGTCAGAAGGGCAACCCAACAAGCATGCGCTTAACGACCGAATTATTTTAAAGAAGAATAAACGATTATATATTACGATATATATATATATATATACAATTAATACATTTATTCACCGGAATAAACCACCCAGTTACTTCGGAATTAACTTTAATTCCGAATAATCATTTTCAATAGGAATTAAGTGTTTACATGCTCTTTTTAAAGCGGAATTCATTTTCATTCAGAATTAAATTATTTTTATTCGGATTTAAAGTGGCAACTGACATGTAGATGAAGAAAACTGGGCCATTTTCTTATTTTTCCTAGATTATGCCAGACTTACTATAGCGAACAGAGCGCGCCGGAAGTTGTCATTGCATATTTCCAAACGTGTTCCTGGTTTGTGGCGTGAGTGTGAGTAGAGACTATTTTCTAGTGTCATGTGAACCCAACCTATAGAATTTACTTATAGATTATCGTCAATAGTTAATTATTCCGTAGCCGATTCACCTCCGTCGTTCTGTTCAAATCTTCATCTGTGTCTGTGGGAAAAATGAACGGGGATTTAAACCCCAGGTGGGCGGGCACTGTTGAGCTCCTGGGCGTGTCCTCTCCTCTGATTGGTCGTTAGCAGGAGCAGTTCTCCTTGGGGGGCGTGGCTTCTCCGTTGAGTCTCGTCTGATTGGCCGGTTTGTGCTGGACTCCGGACTCGGCGGCATTCAGGTCCAAGCTCCCGTCCTGGATGTTCTGATAGATCCTCTTCGCCGCCTCCAGGAACGCCTCCTCAACGTTCTCCCCCCTAAAAGACAAGAACCAGGACTGAACCAGGACTGAACCAGGACTGAAAATAACTAAACCAGAACACAAAATATTTTATTTTAAGTGTTTTGTTGCTTACGTTTTAGCACTGGCTTCGAGGAACAGCAAACCTAAAACAGAGATCACAGTTTTAGAAAGATTCAGTCACACACGTGGGCAGGGCATCTGACACACACACAGGTAACGTTTTCAGACCAACAGAGAACAGTGCCAGTGCCGATTCCCGCACCTAATCTTGAACCGACTGATGAGTTCATGCCAAAAATCAAAGCGTTTGGGAACCGAAACATTGGTTCCTGACGGGAGGCAGGTAAAACCGTAACGACACAGTAGACATCAGCAGGTTCATCCAGGTCACAAGCAGTAAAATAAAAAACAAAGAAAACATGTGTGGAACATGGTGGAGAAATCAAGTGACAAGAAGATTGTGCAGTCATAAGAGGAGGAGAACAAATATTTGCTATATCCATGTTCATCTGGTAAGATTACATTTTTGGATTGGGCGTCGCTGCCGCCTTCTCCACAGCAGATGTTGTAGCAGAGCTTGGCGCAGATAAATAATGATTTGTATGAATACAAAGGCTCGCTGGTGTTGATGATGCGATCCATGATTGTTATTTTCTTTACTGTGACATCCGCCTTCACATGGCCTTGTTTTTATTTGGTAGCAAATCCAAACCTACTGTTGATGACGCATCATTCACTTAAATGGTTTAAACGCGGTTCGTTCACTGGTGAGCACTTTGGTTCCCAGTGGAACTGGTGCAGGAGCTGGCACCATTCTGGCCGGTCTGAAAACAGCTAGGGAGGAAGGGCATCTGACACACACACGAGGAGGAAGGGCATCTGACACACACACGAGGAGGAAGGGCATCTGACACACACACACAGGGAGGAAGGGCATAAGGTTGTACCGTTTTCGTCAGCGAACTGTTTGGCCTCCTCGTACGTCACGTCCCTCTGAGCCTCCAGGTCGCCTTTGTTTCCAATCAGAATTATCACCTAAAAACAGACAAGACAATTACCAGGACTGAACCAGGATTAAATCAAGACTAAACCAGGACTGAACCAGGACTAAACCAGGACTAAACCTGGACTGTACCAGGATTAAATCAGGACTAAACCAGACTAAACCAGGATTAAAACAAGATTGAACCAGGATTAAACCAGGATTAAACCCGGACTAAACCAGGATTAAACCAGGATTAAACCAGGATTAAACCAGGACTAAACCAGGACTAAACCAGGATTAAACCAGGACTAGTCCGGTCCAGGTGGACTCACTGTGTTTGGGTTGGTGAGGTTGCGTGCGTCTGTTAACCAGCTGCTCAGGTGGTTGTATGTACTTCTCCTGTAGAAACACAAGAGGGCAGTGTGGAGACATGAGTGTCAGTGAGGGTTAAACTTTTGACCTTACATCAGATTATAACAGATTAAAGATGCACTATGGAACTTTTCTGGTGCAAGGCCTGAAACCTTTTTGTCTCCATGCCTGCCTGCTCCTGCCTGCTCCTGTCACCTCCTGCCACCTCCTGTCACCTCCTGTCACCTCCTGTCACCTCCTGTCACCTCCTGTCACCTCCTGTCACCTCCTGTCACCTCCTCCCTGCTCCTGTCAGTTCCTGTCTGCTCCTACCTGCTCCCCCCTGCTCCTGTCTCCTCCTGCTTGCTCCTGTCTACTCCTGCCTGCTCCTGTCAGCTCCTGCCTCACCTGGTGATGTCGTACACCATGAGGGCTCCGGCGGCTCCTCTGTAGTAGGATCTGGTCACGGCTCTGAACCGCTCCTGTCCGGCCGTGTCCCAGATCTGCAGCTTCACCTTCTGCCCGTTCACCTCCATGATCCTGGTGCCAAACTCCACGCCAATGGTGTGAGGGCAGTCCGCCATGACTGCAACGCAAACCACACGTGTCAGATGCCCTCCCGGCCTCCTGTGTGTGTCAGATGCCCTCACATTCACCTCACAGTCAGAACTAAACCAGGGACTGAATGAGGACTGAACAAAGGACTAAACAAGGGACTAAACCAGGAACTAAACTTGGTCTGAACTAGAACTTTTACAGGACTGATCCAGTTTAAACTAGGACAGAAACTGGGAGTACTCTATAATCCCTCTATTGCTGTGTGTCAGAAGCCCTTCCATCCAGAACTAAACCAGAACTGAACAAAGGACTAAACCAGGGACTAAACCAGGGACTAAACCAGCCAGGACTAAACCAACCAGGGACTAAACCAGCCAGGGACTAAACCATCCAGGGACTAAACCAACCAGGGACTAAACCAACAAAGGACTAACCAGGGCCTGAACCAGCCAAGGACTAAACCAGGGACTAAACCAGCCAGGGACTAAACCAGGGACTAAACCAGCCAGGGACTAAACCAGGGACTAAACCAGGGGCTAAACCTGGGACTAAACCAGGGACTAAACCAGCCAGGGACTAAACTAGGGACTAAACCAGGGACTAAACCAGCCAGGGACTAAACTAGGGACTAAACCAGCCAGGGACTAAACTAGGGACTAAACCAGGGACTAAACCTGGGGCTAAACCTGGGGCTAAACCTGGGGCTAAACCAGGGATTAAACCAGGGATTAAACCAGGGACTAAACCTGGGGCTAAACCAGCCACGGACTAAACTAGGAACTAAACCAGCCAGGGACTAAACCAGGAACTAAACCAGGGACTAAACCAGCCAAGGACTAAACTGGGTCTGACCCAGAACTTCCCCAGGACTGAACCAGAGTTTAAACCAGGACAGAAACTAGATCTCTATCTCTGTGTGTCAGATGCCCTCCCGTCCTCAAACTTACATTTCTTCTCTGTGAACTGGTGCAGCAGACAGGACTTTCCCACTCCCATGTCCCCTGCACAGACACAGCAGAGAGAGACAGGTTATCAGCTCAAATCTTTGACAAAAACACAGATTTTTTTGTGGAGCCGATTCATTTTGAAGGAAAAAAAGGTTTGGAGAGTTTAAGCCAATTACCCAATGCCATTTTCATCTGATTATGTTTCATCAATTCATTTTTATTTACATCTGCTGTTGAAATGTGATATCACAGAACGCTGCCATTGTGCGTTAGATTGAGCCATGACTATTACTGTGAGGGTGGAACTAAATGAGACGTGAATATCGACCAATTTAAAACACATTGGATTTGGCAGATGAAAATGACTCAGAGCTTTTACGTTTAATCAGATCTATTCTGCAAACTGGACTGTCAGAGCTTTGAACCATGTTATAGTCTTTTTCTTCTCACTCTTTGGAGTGATTCGTGCATGTTTGAGTCGTCTTTAATCGCTTATTTTTAAGACGGCATTTTGCTGATCTACTCCCGTTTTCAGCTCCACCGCTACACGCCCACTGTGACGTACACATTTCCTTCTCCAGTTTTATCTTTTTAATCGGTGATGCACACTGGATTCTGCAGCGTCACATCTTTTTTTGTTTGTTTGTTTGTTTGATTGGGACCAAAATAACACAACACTTTGTTCCCTAGTTTTGTGATGTCATGTGGTAATACAGAAAGTGCTCCACTGCATTTTTAAAATATACACACCTTCACTAGAGTCATTTGAATGATAAGGAAAGGTAAGAGGAGCTATTACCTTGAAAATTACCACTACGTGACATCATGAGGTGGAACAGAGCATTTTGAGTTTAAGATGTAGACAGACTTATCATTAGGGCTGTGCAAAAATATTGAAATACTGATATATCGTATTGTTTAATTTGATGATATAGTATTAACAACGTGGGCTGCTGTATCGATACATCATCATGAGTATTTTTAGGTATATTTTACTAAATTATTTTGTGTAAGAGCTACATCTGTGTTGACATTTTCACTGTTGGGTGTTTTTTGTAACTTTCCACAAACTTAGTGGACTTAGGGCTGGAGTATCAATAAGAAGTTGCTGACAGGATATTTACCTCGATACAGTGAGCTTTCAAGTCAATACAATATATTTCAAATCAATTTGATACGGTTCAATAAAAAAAATAAAGGTTAACTCATGGCTGTGATACTAAAAGTCTTTGTTAAACTACTTCTTCTGCAAAGTTCATATGAAACAGAAACATTTTAATAATCAAAACAATGAAAATGTAAAATGTTGCATGTTCCTTCCTCTAAACAAGCAACAAAACTGTAGCTGTAACAAAATAATTTAGTAAAATATACCAAAAAATACTCTTGGCGATATATCGAAACAGCAGCCCACGATATTGATACTGCATCATCACATTAAACGATACAATATATCAATATTTTTTTATATTTTTGCACACCCTTAATTAGTAGACTTTTAGTATCACAGCCATGATTTAACCTCTGTTTTCCACAGAACCGTATCGAATCATATTGAATTGAAAAAACTTACCGTATCGGTAACTTCTTAGTGATATCCAGCCCTGCTAACAGTGTTGGCGAGTAACAGATTACATGTAACAGCGTTACATAATCAGAGCACAAATTATGAATAACTGTATTCAGTTACAGTTATGGTTTCAGTGAGTGGTAATTGGATTACAGTTACTTTGTTGAACTAAATGGATTACACGGCGGTATTTTCCTGTTTTCACATTTTGGGCTAAACCAGGACTAAAACCAGGTCTAAACCAGGACTAAACCAGGTCTAAACCAGGTCTAAACAATATGACACCTAACAGTAGGGTGGATATACTTTAAGGCAGCAGTGATCTCATATAAAAATAATTTCTCTATCAATAATATTTTTAATCTGGTTAAGGACAGACTGGGCTTTTTGTGTCTTTTAGCAGATAAAACATCTTCATCTTTGCCTCTCTACAGTAAACAAAAGCTTCTTCATGGAGACTTGGGCTCAACAGACAATTTGAAGAGAACAAGCAAGAATTTTCAGGATGTGGTTGGTACATTCATGTCGTTTTAAAATGCAGGACAATATCAAGTAATCCAAAGTATTCAGATTACGTTACTCACTTTAAGTAATTAAATGGATTACGTTACAAACTACATTTTGGTGTATGTAATCTGTAATCTGTAGGGGAAAACATTTTAAAAGTCACCTTCCCAACACTGCCTACTAATAATACAAAATAACTAAATTTTAACATGTGTGATTGAAACAAAACATAACTCCAGGTCTGTTTTTGAGGAGGTAACGACATTTTAACACGACTTAAAGCTCATAAGAGTCCATTTTGCGTATTATAAAACCTTTAAATATTAAAAAAAAAAAAAACAGCTCGTTGCTCGGTCCTCGTTCACTCACCGATGATGATGTATTTGAAGATGTACGAGTAGTTGTAGGGAGCGGCTGTCATCTTTCCCACTGCGAAAACAACACATTCCAACTCATTAGTAACGCATTATGATCAGGATCACATCTGGGTTTAAAAACAGCGGGTCTGTAACGCGTCGGAGCCCGAAATAAGGCGCTCATCCCCGTGTAAACAACGAGCTGTGGACGGGACGCACAAAAGGGGAGACCCGGGGCTTGTACATTACTCAGCTAAACCCGGACTTCTGCGCTCATCTGAAGCAGAAATCACAATGACAGCGACGTGGAAATCAGTATAACACAAATATAACTGTGAAAAGACTGAGATCTGCGGGTTTAAATCTGCGGGAATCTTTTTATTTACATTATGTGCACATTAGCTTTAGACGCTAATTGCTGCGGTCTGTCAACGCCTAACTAGGACGCTAACGGGGGGGTGTTCACTTTGCCTGTTTTTAACACATTTATGATCAAAACGAGAGCGTGAACGGCGTGAATAGACGGAGTTACCTGGTGTCCGCGCGTGTCCGCCTCGGTAAATGCTTAAAAAGAGGTTTAAATGTGTAAAAGTGCAGTTAGCTGTTAGCTGTTAGCCTGGTCATCAGACAGGAAACCGCTTCCTCACCGGTACTGAACCGAACATCGCGAGACTTCCGGGGCTGTCAGTGATGGACGAGACTTGAGGTGAGATAACGGAGACTAATTTACCAAAATAAAACGATAAAACTCACGATAAAGGTCTATATTACACACAGTGTTGGGGAGTAACAGATTACATGTACCAGAGATACGTAATCGTAATACGTAAGAGTACAAATTATGAGTAACTGTATTCAGTTACAGTTACTGTTTCAGTGAGTGGTAATTGGATTACAGTTACTTGGTTGAAATAAATGGATTACATGACGGTATTTTCCTGTTTTCACATTTTGGGCTAAATCTCTTTTTTTTTCTTTTTATTTATTTATTTATTTTTTAATTCCACTCATTGCCAGACACTAAACCAGGACTAAACCAGGACTAAAACCAGAACTAAAACCAGGTCTAAACCAGGTCTAAACTAGATTAAAACCAGGTCTAAAACCAGATCTAAATCAGGTCTAAAACCAGGTCTAAACCAGGTCTAAACCAGGACTAAAACCAGATCTAAAACCAGGTCTAAATCAGGTCTAAATTAGGTCTAAACCAGGTCTAAAACCAGGTCTAAAACAGGTCTAAAACAGGTCTAAAACCAGGTCTAAAACAAGGACTAAACCAGGTCTAAAACCAGGACTTAAACCAGTCTAGACCAGGTTTAAACCAGGTCTAAACAAGGTCTAAACTAGATCTAAACCAGGACTAAACAAGGTCTAAAACCAGGTCTAAACCAGGTCTAAACCAGGTCCAAACCAGGTCTAAGTCAGGTCTAAACCAGGTCTAAACCAGGACTAAACCAGGACTAAACTAGATCTAAACCAGGACTAAAACAGGATTTAACAGGACTAAACCATGCAGCGTGGACCGTGTCTCCTCGTCTTATATCAATAATATTTTTAAAACAGTGAAGTAAAGTCTGGGCTTTTTATTGTCTTTTAGCAGATAAAACATCTCATGTGAAGATTTCCGAGTCTTTGCTTCTCTACAGAAAATCAAGTAATCCAAAGTATTCAGATTACATTACCCACTTTAAGTAATTTAATGGATTCCGTTACAAACTACATTCTGGGTTATGTAATCTGTAATCTGTAGAGGAATACATTTTAAAAGTCACCTTCCCAACACTGATTACACAATATTGACTCTTGTGATGTTATAATGTTGTTACTTCCTCCAAAACAGACCTGGAGTTGTATATTAAACTAAAATTTGTGAAGTGAGTGCGTAATTAAGGAAAATTGTGATGCACTCGGCCCATGTGAGTCAGTATAGTCACATTTTCTTTGTGTTTTGGTCATTTTTTTAAGCAGCTTTTCTGTATTGTACCTAAACAAATGACTCTCTTTACTGTTGGCAGGGATCAAATTGGTCATAAATAAGGGCAACTGGGACATTTCTTGTATAAAACTGGGACAAATGGGGGTTAAAAAAAAAAAAACTTACAGAAAATCTTACAGAAATACCTACAAGACAAACTACTGTCCTCAAAAGTAAACCACGACTTTTAACTAAACACATGCTTTTTTTTTTTTTTTTTTTTAAACATTGGTAACATGGTTTTACTCTCACTTTGTATTTCGTGTTGGACAATCTAGTCCTGGTTCAGTCCTGGTTTAGTCTTAGGTTAGACCTGGTTTAGTCCTGGTTTAATCATGGTTCAGTCCCGATGTAGTCCTAATTTAGTTCTGTTTTGGTCCTAGTTTAGTCCTGGTTCCGTCCTGATGTAGTCTTGATGTAGACCCATTGACCCTGATTCAATCCTTATATAGTCCTCTTGTGGTCCTGGTTCAGTCCTGATGTAGTTCTGTTTTTGTTCTGGTTCAGTCTTGGTTCAGTCCTGGTTCAGTCATGGTTCGGTACTAGTTCAGTCCTGGTTCAGTCCTGATGTAGTCCTGCTCTGGTCCCGGTTCAGTCCCGGTTCAGTTCTAGTTCAGACCTGATGTAGTCCAGTTGTGGTCCCAGTTCAGTCCTGGTTCAGTCCTAGTTCAGTCCTGTTTTGGTCCTGTTGTGGTCCCGATTCAGTCCTGGTTCAGTCCCGGTTCAGTCCTGTTTTGGTCCTGTTGTGGTCCCAGTTCAGTCCCGGTTCAGTCCCGGTTCAGTCCTAGTTCAGTCCTGTTTTGCTCCTGGTTCAGTCCTGTTTTGGTCCTGGTTTTAGCCTCAGACTGATGTGGTTGTGTGTCCTGTAATTTTCTGTCCTAAAGCTCCACCTCTCTCCTCCCTCCCTCCCTCCTTCTCTCCATCCCTCCATCCCTCTCTCTCTTTCCCTCTAACCTCATCCCTGCCCTGTCCAGATCCAGACCAGGAGCAGACCAGGACTGAACCAGGACTGAACCAGGACTAAACCAGGACCAGAGCACCGCCGGTTTTCCTCTGTAAAATGAGATGAAGTCTGAAAACATGGACAAACAGAAAGGTAAGTTTAATCGTGCAGTACTTTAACCTTTGTAGTAGTCGCAATATTTGTAAGTAACGCAGTACTTTATCCTGTGTAGTAGTTGCAGTATTTGTAAGTAACGCAGTACTTTTACTGCAGTTACTCAAATCTGCAAGAGACAAACATGAGCATTTGTGAATCTTTCACCTCAACCAGGTCAAGATGTTTTGGTGGATTATTTTTGGAAATACTTGAATTTGTGCTTTTAGTCCTGGTTTAGTCCTGGTTTAGACCTGGTTTAGACCTGGTTTAGACCTGGGTTAGACCTGGGTTCAGACCTGGGTTAGACCTGGTTTAGACCTTATTTAGTCAAGGTTCAGATCTACTCCAGTCCTGGTTCAGTCCTAGTTCAGTTCTGGTTTATTTCTGATCTAGTCCTGGCCAAGTTCTGGTTTAGTCCTTATTTAGACCTGGTTCAGTCCTGGTTCAGTTCTGCTTCAGTCCTGGCTCATTCCTGGTTCAGACCTGGTTTAGTCCTGGTTCAGTTCGTGGTTTAGACCTGGTTTAGTCCTGGTCGAGTCTTTGTTTAGTTCTAGTTTAGACCTGGTTTACTCAGTGTTTAGGCATGAGTTAGACCTGGTTTAGTCCTGGTTTAGACCTGGTTCAGACCTGGTTTAGTCCTGGTTTAGACCTGGTTTAGTCCTTGTTTAGTCCTGGTTCAGTCCTGTTTTAGTCCATGTGGGTGAAGTGTCTTGCCAGAGGACACAGAGGCACCTGCTTTTCCCCGAGGACACGAGGACGAACCAAACAGGACGCGACTTTATCTGAAGAATGTTAAATATCGGAAACTCATCTCCTCATCCTCTCCCCACGGACCTGTGTTTATACAAGACCTGGACCAGGACTAGACCAGGACTAGACCTCATCTCCTCTCATCCTTCTCCCCACGGACCTGTGTTTATACAAGACCTGGACCAGGACTAGACCAGGACTAGACCAGGACTAGACCAGGACTAGACCACAACTCATCTCCTCATCCTCTCCCCACGGACCTGTGTTTATACAAGACCTGGACCAGGACTAGACCAGGACTAGACCTCATCTCCTCTCATCCTCTCCCCACGGACCTGTGTTTATACAAGACCTGGACCAGGACTAGACCAGGACTAGACTAGACCTCATCTCCTCTCATCCTCTCCCCACGGACCTGTGTTTATACAAGACCTGGACCAGGACTAGACCAGGACTAGACCTCATCTCCTCTCATCCTCTCCCCACAGACCTGTGTTTATACAAGACCTGGACCAGGACTAGACCAGGACTAGACCACAACTCATCTCCTCACCCTCTCCCAATGGACCTGTGTTTATTCAGGACCTTAACCAGAACTAGACCAGGGCTGGACTGGGGCTGGACCAGGGCTGGACCAGGACTAGACCAAGACTGAGCCGGGACTCAGCAAAGACTAAATCGGGTCTAAATCAGGACTAAACCAGGTCTAAACCATGAGTAAACCAAGTCTAAACTAAAACTAAACAAAGACTAGACCAGGACTAAAACAGGTCTAAACCAGGACTAAGGCTGGACCAGGACCAAACCAGGGCTGGACCAGGACCAAACCAGGGCTGGACCAGGACCAAACCAGGGCTGGGCCAGGACTGAACCAGGGCTGGGCTAGGACTAAACCAGGGCTAGACCACAACTAGACCAAGCCTGAACTGGGACTCAACAAAGACTAAACCAGGACTGAACAGGTCTAAACCAGGAGTAAACCTTGAGTGAACCAGGTCTAAACAAGAACAAAACAAAGACTAGACCAGGACTATAACAGGTCTAAACCGGGACTCAACCAGGACTCAACCAAGTCTGAACGAGGACTAAACCAAGACTGAAGACTGGGAGATACTTATTAAAAAAAAAAAAAAAAACACACACTGATCCAACTTTTTCAGTCCAGATACGATATCAAATATTTGCCAATACCAAATATTTGCCGATATCAAATGTTTACCGATACCAGTACAGGGACAGAAAGTGTCTCTTATTTCCTTAAAACAGTAAAAATATTACATAGGAAATCCAATAATGTTATGTAACTTTTCTTGATCCACCACATCACGTCTGACCAGGTTTGTGTGAATAAAAGAAAAAAAACAGATGAGCCGTAAACATGAGACCCTGTCACCAGAACGTTCTTCAAACTACGAAATATCGCTACAGAGAAATACTGCGTTACACGATAATACTGCAAAGGAAAACCCGTCTGAAATATAAAGTCTCATTAAAAGGCCTGAGGAATCCTGGTTCAGGCCTGGTTCAGCACTGGTTCAGACCTGGTTTAGTCCTGGTTTAGTCCAGGTTCAGTCCCGGTTCAGTCTTGTTTCAGTCTTGTTTCAGTCCTGGTTCAGTACTGGTTCAGTACTGGTAGTCCTGGTTAGTCCTGGTTCAGTCCTGGTTCAGTCTTGTTTCTGTCCTGGTTCAGTACTGGTTTCAGTATCTGGTTTAGTCCTGGTTTAAGTCCTGGTTCAGTCCTGGTTCAGTCCTGGTTCAGTCTGGTTTCAGTTTCTGGTTTCTGTCCTTGTTTAGTCCTGGTTCAGTCCTGGTTTGGTTTAGTCCTGGTTCAGTCCTGGTTCAGTCCTGGTTTAGTTCTATTTTAGTCCTGGCTCAGTACTGGTTCAGGCCTGGTTTAGTCCTGGTTCAGCCGTGGTTTAGTTTAAAGCTGCACTGTGTAACTTTTATAGTGGGGGGTCTGTCAAACACTTTTCTCCATGGAGACGTTTTTGCTTTGTCAAAAATGTTTCACAGTATGAAACATCTTCATCTTCATGGAGACCAAACCAGACCAAGTTACAGGTCAGAACCAGGACTGAACCAGGACTAAACCAGGTCTAACGCAGGCCTAAACATTGAGTGAACTAGGTCTAAACTAGAACTAAAAAATGAAAAGACCAGGACTAAAACAGGTCTAAATCAGGACAAAAACAGGTCTAAACCAGGACTAAAACAGGTCTAAACCAGCTTTAAACCAGGTCTAAACCAGCTTTAAACCAGGTCTAAACCCGGACTGACCCAGGTCTTGTGCGGGCCCTCTCTGGGATCATGTCTGTATAATGGGGCCCCTCACACACAGACCAGTGTCTTGTGTTTTGTGTTTTGTGTTTTGATGTTAAATTCATTCATGTTTCTGGTCCAGACACAAAGCTCTCTGTTTCCTCACGATTCTCTCACAAACGTCTGAATGTGGCCCAAGACTGGGTCCCGAGAGTCCAGGGCCCCGTTTAGTCCGAGTTCAGCCAGGATCTGAACCAGGACTGACCTCTCAGACTCCTACTCGCCCTCTGTCCACTGTCACTGTGTCTGTGAATGAGACCAGGACTAAACCAGGACTAAACCAGGACTAACCAGGAACCAGGACTAAACCAGGACTGAACCAGGACTGAACCAGGACTAAACCAGGACTGAACCAGGACTAAACCAGGACTGAACCAGGACTAAACCAGGACTAAACCAGGACTAAACCAGGACTGAACCAGCTCTGAACCAGGACGAAACCAGGTGTAAACCAGGTCTGAACCAGGACTAAACCAGGTCTAACCTAGGACTAAACCAGGACTAAACTAGGTCTGACCCAGGACTAAACCAGAAATAAACCAGGATTATAATAGGACTGAACCAGGACTAAACCTGGACTAAACCAGGACTAAACCAGGACTAGATCAGGACTAGCCCGGTCCTGGTCTTGGTCCTGGTCCTGGTCCTGGTTCTGGTCCTGGTCCTGGATCCTGGTCCTGGTTCTGGTCCCCTGGTCCTGGTTCTGGTCCTGGTCCTGGTCCTGGTTCCTGGTTCTGGTCCTGGTTCTGGTCTGGTCCTGGTTCTGGTCCTGGTCCTGGTCCTGGTTCTGGTCCTGGTCCTGGTTCTGGTCTTGATCCTGGTCCTGGTTCTGGTCCTGGTCCGGGGTCAGTGAGGAGAATAGACTCTGTGTTTGAGTAAATACAAATATTATTCATGAAGCAAAATCATTTCACAGTCAATGAACTGAGCTGAGAACAAGGCTTTTACAGGGACTAGATCTGGACCAGGACCAGGATCTGGACCTGGACCTGGACCAGGACCTGATCGTGTGTAGTGTGTGTGCAGTGTGTGTGTAGTGTGTGTGAGTCCAGTTTGAGGTGTGTGTTTACAGTTAATGAGTGTGAGCTGTGTCCTTCACTGTGATCAGGAAATCTAATGTTTAACCTGTAGATCTGATGATGTAACACAAATACACACACACACACACATACACACACACACACACACAAAGGCACACACACACACACACACACACACACACACACACACACACACACACACACACACACACACACACACACAGACACACACACACACACACACACAGACAGACACACACACACACACACAGACACACTCATGCAGACATACAAACACACACACACACACACATTAACTTGAGGAGTGCAGCAGCTTCAAAATCGCACACGAGGACCTGAACTTGTGGAGAAGCAAATTGCAGCTGAAATGGGCACATTCTCGTGTCGTGTGTGTTCTGTAAGAGCCAACAGGCCTGTTTCACTTGATGCAAACATTTATTTTTGTGATATATATATATATATATATATATATAAAATTAGGCCTTGGTATCATTCAGAAGTTGCAGATACGATATATACTTCGATACACAGGCCACAATATGATACACATCTCGATACTGTGAGCTTATGATTCGATACGATTCAGTACGATATATTTCCAGTCGATTCGATACGGTTCAATAAAAATAAATCATGTCTGTGATACTAAAACTCTTCGTTAAACCACTTCTTGTGTAAAGTTCATATGAAACACAAACATTTTAATCATCAAAAACAGTGAAAATGTCAAATGTCAAAATTTTCTTTTACTAAACAAGCAACAAAACTGTAGCTGTAACAAAATAATTTTGTAAAATATACCAAAAAATACTCTTGGCGATATATCGATACAGCAGCCTACGATATTGAAAATATTGGGCCAACCTAACATCGTTCTTCCTGTGCGTGAGATTTGTCTATTGTGAGTTGACTTTACAAATGCCTTTTTCAGTTCAAGTTCAATTCAATTCCTTTATTGTTATTGTTATATAAAATAACAACAAAATTACGTTAGAGCATCATACAGACTGCAGAGTATTTTAAAAGTGCATAATAGTGTAGAGCACAAACCCTATCACAACCACCACGTCAACATTACACCCGCCATGTGAACATTAGAATACACTACTAGTAATATCAGTGCAGCAGTTGATTGATAAAATCAGTCTGAAATATAAGGTCTCATTAAAAGACCTGGATCTGGTTTAGTCCTGTTATAGTCCTGGTTTAGTTCTGGTTCAGTCCTGGTTCAGTCCTGGTTCAGTCTTGTTTCAGTCCTGGTTCAGTCCTGGTTTAGTCCTTGTTCAGACCTGGTTCAGTCCTGGTTCAGACCTGGTTCAGTCCTGGTTTAGACCTGGTTCAGTCCTGGTTCAGTCCTGGTTTAGTCCTGGTTCAGTCCTGGTTCAGCCTTGGTTTAGTTTAAAGCTGTACTGTGTAACTTTTCTCGTGGAGGGTCAAACGCTTTTTTTTTTTGTCAAAAGTGTTTCATGTTTCATCTTCATGGAGACCAAACCAGACCAAGTTACAGGTCAGAACCAGGACTAAACCAGGACTAAACCAGGACTAAACCAGGACTGAACCAGGTCTAACTCAGGCCTAAACATTGAGTAAACTAGATCTAAACTAGAACTAAAATTTGAAAAGACCAGGACTAAAACAGGTCTAAACCAGGACTAAAACAGGTCTAAACCAGGTCTAAACCAGGACTAAACCCAAACTGACCCAGGTCTTGTGCGGGCCCTCTCTGGGGTCATGTCTGTATAATAATAATATAAACATTACACCCACTATGTGAACATTAGAATACAGCACTAGTAATATCAGTGCAGCAGTTGACTGATAAAATCAGACTTCCTGCACAAACAACATCCTACGTGTGTCGTTAGTCGACCTATGAAAATAGTGTGACTTTAATTGTGTCGGGTTTGGTCGGACTCAAACACAAATATCTTACTGCCTATCAGGCTCGGTTCAGATTCGACCACTGCTCTGTCGGATGAGGGCCAGTCTCGGACAGGAAAAACCCTGATCCACACTCTAACACACACAGACACACAGACACATGCACAAAACTGCATGCATAAAACAACATGCATAAAACTGAACCTGAAGTGAGCGAATAAACTTTCTAAGAGTTCTAAATGTGATGTTTGTGCATTTCCAGCTCCTGTTTCTTATGTGAATCTTCAGAATGTGTATGAAAAATAAAAATTGCAGCGATGGAAACAGAAGTAAAGTGAAGGTTGCTGGGTGAGACAGACCAGAGAGAGGAGCTCGTCTCAGGAGAAAGAGCCTCATTCAGAAATAACGAAATGAACCTTTATAAAACAGCAGCGGTCAGTTCAAATGTAGATTTGCTTTAATATTGTGTTAACTTCCTCTCTCCTCTCCTCATACTTGTCTCCTCCTCCTCTCCTTTATCCTCTTTCCTCCTGTCCTCCTCTCCTCTCCACAGTGCTGGCTCGTGTGCTGTGGGATCTTCAGTCCTTTTTGTCACTGTTGGATTCTGAAAACCTGAGTTTCATCGCACAGGCTCAAAAGAAGTCACTCTCTGAGCTCCTGTCGTCTCTGCAAAGTACTGCAAATACTACGAATACTACAACAGGTAAGTACTGCTAATACTCCCAATACTAGAGTACATTCAGTTCTGCCAATACTACTACTACTACTACTCCTTTATTTAACTTGAGTTGTGTTTTTCCAGTGGAGGATGCTGAGTACATGGTGATGAGCTGCCCCTCCTCTCCCACAGGCACCCCAGCACCAGGTCAGAACTGAACCAGGACTAAACCAGGACTAAACCAGGACCAAACCAAGACTAAACTGTGAGCTTTTGAACATGAATTTTGTGTTTCAGACGTGACCTGGTCCTCAGAGCTGGACTCCGGCGCAGACCCAAAGCTGCAGCACAAACACGGAGTAAGTCTTGACCTTCAGGTTTAAGTTAAGGTACTTTATTGTCTCTGTAGGGAAATGTGTCATCTGCATTTGACCCATCCTTCAGTGGGGCAGCTCAGAACCCAGCTCCACCATCCTGTTACTAGGCTTGATCAAATCTAGCCTCATTCATGAGCCGATTTCATTTCGTGGAAACCGTCTGACCTCACAGCATTAGGATTCGTTCACTCGACGGTAGGCGGGTACTATTTTTTATTTAACCAGTCTCTGTTATTTGGCCGTGTCATATGTAATGCATCAAATCCTGTAGGAAGAAGGACAATAACGTCTTTTCCCTTGATAAAATTCACCAAACATTCTCTTTGTTCCAGCTTTAAATCCTCGATCTGGGGAATCGTCGCTAACACAGAATGTCTGTCTTCGTCTACATCCATCTCGACGCTTTGTTTACTGTTGTGCTGTCATGGCTTCACAGCTCACAGCTGATTGGCTGGTGACGGTCTACAACTTCCAGGGTTCTTGCAAACCGTCGAACGCAGTGGTCCTCAATGTTTTTAGTGCCACGGACGGTTTTATGTCTGGTTTTATGTCCGGTTTTATTGTCGCAGCATGGTTTAGTCCTGATTTAGACTGGTTTAGACTGGTTTAGCTGGTTTTGGTTTCCTGGTTTAGTCCTGGTTTAGACCTGGTTTAGTCCTGGTTTAGTCCTGTTTAGTCTTTAGTCCTGGTCTGTTTCTGGTTTACTGGTTTAGTCCTGGTTTAGTCCTGGTTTACCTGCTGTTTAGACCTGGTTTAGTCCTGGTTTAGTCTGGTTTAGTCCTGTTTAATCCTGTCCTGTTTAATCCTGGTTTAGACCTGGTTTAGACCTGGTTTAGTCCTGTTTTCCTGGTTTAGTCCTGGTTTAATCCTGGTTTAGTCCTGGTTTAGAGTCCTGGTTTAGTCCTGGTTTACTGGTTTACCTGGTTTAGTCCTGGTTTAGTCTGGTTTCCTGGTTTAGTCCTGGTTTAGTCCTGGTTTATTTAGTCCTGGTTTAGACCTGGTTTAGTCCTGGTTTATGGTTTAGTCCTGGTTTAGTCCTGGTTTAATCCTGGTTTAGTTTAGTCCTGGTTTTAGACCTGGTTTAGTCCTGGTTTATCTGGTTTAGTCCTGGTCCTGGTTTAGTCTGGTTTAGACCTGGTTTAGTCCTGGTTTAATCCTGGTTTAGTGGTTTAGTCCTGGTTTATCCTGGTTTTACCTGGTTTAGTCCTGGTTTAGCCTGGTTTAGTCCTGGTTTAGTCCTGGTTTATCCTGGTTTAGTCCTGGTTTACTGGTCCTGGTTTAGTCCTGGTTTAACCTGGTTTAGTCCTGGTTTAATCCTGGTTTAGTCCTGGTTTAACCTGGTGGTCCTGGTTTAGTCCTGGTTTAATCCTGGTTTAGTCTGGTTTATCCTGGTTTAGTCCTGGTTTAGACCTGGTTTAGTCCTGGTTTAATCCTGGTTTAGTTTAGTCCTGGTTTAGACCTGGTTTAGTCCTGGTTTAATCCTGGTTTCTGGTTTCTGGTTTAGTCCTGGTTTAATCCTGGTTTAATCCTGGTTTAAGTCCTGGTTTAGACCTTGTAGTCCTGGTTTAGACCTGGTTTAGTCCTGGTTTAGTCCTGGTTTAGACCTGGTTTAGTCCTGGTTTAATCCTGGTTTAGACCTGGTTTAGAGGTGCGTATGGGAGGGGGGGTTTGTGCTTTCAGAGCCTGGTACCAGACGACCCATGACCCGGTCCCGGTCTCCTGGTCTAGTGTTTTCAATATCTAGTCGCTGGAGAGAAATTAAATTTAGCGGAGGCACTAGGTGGCACCAGCCTGACTCGATCAGATCACCTTTGCTGGAAGTTTCAGGGAGGTGTTCCAGACCCGGAGACACTGAAGGATGGGTCAAATGCAGAGACATATTTATTTAGAGACCGGGGATTATAAATCTTTCCATTAATATAAAAAACTCAAAAACATATCTGGATTTGTGTTTTGTTTCATTCACACATGTGTGAGACGTCATGAAGCAATAGTTTCCAAGTGAACAGCTCCTTTTGCCTTTTGTTCAGTAGAGATTGGCCATTCCAGGGCTGTATTTTTGATGTTTCTGATTCTTGTATTACCACATGACATCAAATCGTCACATGATGATAGAAACTCCACAGACCCACAGAGCAGCAGTGCATCTGAAATACCTGAATTAATTCTTTTATTCATTTTTATTCATTTGAGAAAGTTCTTGGAGCCTGGTCTGAGTGGTTTTGGTTAAATCTTCGTTTAGTCCTGTTTTAGTCCTGGTTTGTGGTCTGGGCCCAGTGGGGTTTGGACTTGGGACAGGAAGTGAGTGTTTAGAGGTGCCGGGCTTTGATTGGCTGTCACTCAGAGCAGACAGGAAGTGGTCAGAGATGAGGAAGATTAGCTCCTGGTGCTACGTGATCTGTGTCAAACCAACATGTGTTCACAAACCCAGAATCAAGGTTTAGACCTGGTTTAGACCTGGTTCAGTCATATGCTCTGTGTGTCAGATGCCTTAGACTTAGACAAACTTTACTGATCCACAAGGGAAATTATTTGGACACAGTAGCTCACACATCACAATATAATATAATAACAAAGAGTGAAAATATAAATGTAATAATAAATTCTAAATAAGACTGGTGAGAAATATGACATAATTAGGCCAACACATGATTACGAGCAAATAAATATATTATGGACATGGGGAATTTTTCACTGTTGGCCAGCAGGGGGTGCAACAACATTTAAAAACATTTAAAGTTGCACTATGTAATTTTTCTGGTAGAGGATGTGTTGGTCTGGATGGTCAAATTGAAAGTTCACCATCTTTGTTTTTTGGGGTTTTTTTTTGTTTTTCTTAAATCAACACATGCAAAAATTTTGAAAAAAGGCAGGTTTAGATAAGGAGTTAGGGTTAGGGTAAGAGCTAAGGTTAGATTTGGGGTTGGGGCTATGGTTAGGGTAACGTTTAGGGTTGGGGCTAGGGGAGCGGTGTTTGCAGGGCATGGTGTTTGCGGGGGCATGGCGTTGCGGGGCATGGTGTTTGTGTGCGCCCTGTGCAATGGCGAGGGCCATTCAACTCCGCTTGCAGCTTTAATTATATAACTGTATTTGTACAAGTCTAAATAAAGTAGAAAAATAAGTTATAAAAAAATATAATCACAGTTTTCTACAAGAGGTCTTAGGAGGACTGGGCTGAGTTGTTGTAGAGTTGTAGAGTTGTCGGGAGTATTATATTATCTGTAACATAAGAGTGAGTTGTTGCACAGTTGTAGGGAGTATTATCTGTTAATTAAGGGTGAGTTTGTTGTACAGTTGTAGGGAGTATTATCTGTTACATAATTGTGAGTTGTTGTACAGTTGTAGGGAGTATTATCTGTTAATTAAGGGTGACTTGTTGTACAGTTGTAGGGAGTATTATCTGTTACATAAGGGTGAGTTGTTGTACAGTTGTAGGGAGTATTATCTGTTACATAAGGGTGAGTTGTTGTACAGTTGTAGGGAGTATTATCTGTTACATAAGGGTGAGTTGTTGTACAGTTGTAGGGAGTATTATCTGTTAACATAAGGGTGAGTTGTTGTACAGTTGTAGGGAGTATTATCTGTTACATAAGGGTGAGTTGTTGTACAGTTGTAGGGAGTATTATCTGTTACATAAGGGTGAGTTGTTGTACAGTTGTAGGGAGTATTATCTGTTACATAAGGGTGAGTTGTTGTACAGTTGTAGGGAGTATTATCTGTTACATAAGGGTGAGTTGTTGTACAGTTGTAGGGAGTATTATCTGTTACATAATGGGTGAGTTGTTGTACAGTTGTAGGGAGTATTATCTGTTACATAAGGGTGAGTTGTTGTACAGTTGTAGGGAGTATTATCTGTTACATAAGGGTGAGTTGTTGTACAGTTGTAGGGAGTATTATCTGTTACATAAGGGTGAGTTGTTGTACAGTTGTAGGGAGTATTATCTGTTACATGGTGAGTTGTTGTACAGTTGTAGGGAGTATTATCTGTTACATAAGGTGAGTTGTTGTACAGTTGTAGGGAGTATTATCTGTTACATAAGGGTGAGTTGTTGTACAGTTGTAGGGAGTATTATCTGTTACATAAGGGTGAGTTGTTGTACAGTTGTAGGGAGTATTATCTGTTACATAAGGGTGAGTTGTTGTACAGTTGTAGGGAGTATTATCTGTCCCTCTATAGTATAGTTGCCCTCCCGTCCTCCTGTGTCCCTGTGTCAGATATATTTTGTTTATATTTCAGAGTGTACATTCTGTGCTGACTCTTACTCCTGATGAAGAGGACACGTATGAAGAGGCCGCTCCCTACGCCCCACAGTCCACCTGCAACTCTACTGGTACTACTACTACTACTACTACTACTACTACTACTACTACTTGTACTACTACTACTACTACTACTACTACTACTACTACTACTACTACTACTACTACTACTACTACTACTACTACTACTACTGCTACTACAACTCTACTTCTCCTTCTACTGTACTACACTACCCCTTTTGTGTGCAGAGAGGGCGGAGTCAGACAGCAGTCATTATGAGTCGTACGGCGATGAAGACGACGATGACGTGTTTGAGGGCGGGGCCGGGCTGATGACGGACAGGCGCTTCGTCCAGAGGAGCGCGTCGCAGCCATGTCTAAGGCCCGCCCCCGAGTCCCGTCTCTGCGGTTACCTGTGGAGGAGGAAGTGGCTCGGGCAGTGGATCAAACAGCTCTTCATCATCAAGAACCACTCACTCATGGTAAATAGTTAACCGGGAACTGTACTGGTTTTTCCTCATTCTGAAACTCAACTATGCTTACAGTGTAATAAGTGTGTATATATGTGCTATTACAGTGTAATAAATGCACATATGTTCTATTACAGTGTAATAAATGCATATATGTCCTTTTACAGTCTTAGAAGTGCATATATGTCTTATTAAGGGCCTTTCACTCCAGAGCGTCAAAAAATGCCCGAAATGCCTCAATTTAGACGCCCCTGACACTGTGGACGAACGGGAGAAAAAATACTTGACACGCGTCCGTTGCCCTGGAAACAAGTGCATGCTCCCGGCCTTTTTCTGAAACGATGGCAGACCAGACTGAGAGAGACTTTAGTGTTTTCATTACATAAAACAGCGGAGGAGATCGGCTCAACGACTGTGGCGTACATATGTGTGTGTGTGTGTGTGTGTGTGTGTGTGTGTGTGTGTGTGTGTGTGTGTATGTGTATATATGTATGTATGTATGTATGTATGTAGGTATGTATACTCCACTAATGACACTGGTCCAGTCCTGGTTTAGACCCGGTCTAGTCCTGGGTTAGTCAGTTAGTTTTATGCTCCGCTAATGTTTGTGGCTCTTGATTGGTTGACGCATAGTGTCTGATGTGAAAAGTTCAGCATTTTCAACTTTCTGGCATCAACGCCTTGGACGCCAAAACACTCAAGACGCGCTGCGTCAACGCCAGATTTGCACCGCGCTGACACCCGAAGATGCGCTGCAAAAACGCAGGACACCCCAGACATGCTTCCACATAAACTTTACATATAAACTGGAAGCTCTGACACTTTGGTGTGAACCCCCCTTTACAGTGTTATAAGCATAAATATGTCCTATTACAGTGTTATAACTGTGTATGTGTCCTATTACAGTGTAATAATATTGTTCTATTACAGTGTTATAAGTGTATATATGTTCTATTACAGTGTTATAAGTGTATATATGTTCTATTACAGTGTTATAAGTGTATATATGTTCTATTACAGTGTTATAAGTGCCCGCGGGACCCTGACCCGCAGGTGGCGCTGGACCTCCGGGGTTGTCTCCTGACATATAAGGCCAAACCCCAGAGGAGGGTCCCCCACACCCTCAGACTGATGCTGCCAGGGTCCCACAGCCTCGTCCTGGGCTTCAGCAGCTTCCAGCATGCGCAAGAGTGGAAGACGGTACTATAATACTACTACTACTACTACTACTACTACTACTACTACTACTACTACTACTACTACTACTACTACTACTACTACTACTACTACTATTGCTGCTGCTGCTACTACTGCTACTACTACTGCTACTACTACTTCTCCTGCTACTGCTACTGCTTCTACTACACAGTGACTCTTTAAGTGTGTGTGGCAGGTGATCGAGGAGCTGAGCTGTGGAGACTTCGAGACTCAAAGTTCAACTGGGATCAGAACTGAACCACTGTCCTGCAGGGTAAGACCTGGGTAAGACCCGGTTTAATCCTGGTTTAATCCTGGTTTAGACCTGGTTCATGCCTGATTTAGACCTGATTTGATCCTGGTTTAGTCCTGGTTTAGTTCTGGTTTAGACCTGTTTCTTTTGTCTTCAGTCCAGTGCAGTGCAGACTGACTCAGATGATGAGAGATCCTCAGCTCCACAGCACCTCCAAAAGGACAAAGGTGAGCACCACGGTCACAGTATGTTATACCAGTGTGTCAGATGCCCTCCCGTCCTCCTGTGTCCCTGTCTGTCAGATGTGTCAGATGCCCTCCCGTACTCCTGTGTCCCTGTGTGTCAGATGTGTCAGATGCCCTCCCGTCCTCCTGTGTCCCTGTGTGTCAGATGTGTCAGATGCCCTCCCGTCCTCCTGTGTCCCTGTGTGTCAGATGTGTCAGATGCCCTCCCGTCCTCCTGTGTCCCTGTGTGTCAGATGTGTCAGATGCCCTCCCGTCCTCCTGTGTCCCTGTGTGTCAGATGTGTCAGATGCCCTCCCGTCCTCCTGTGTCCCTGTGTGTCAGATGTGTCAGATGCCCTCCCGTCCTCCTGTGTCCCTGTGTGTCAGATGTGTCAGATGCCCTCCCGTCCTCCTGTGTCCTGTGTGTCCGTCCTCCCTGTGTCCCTGTGTGTCAGATGTGTCAGATGCCCTCCCGTCCTCCTGTGTCCCTGTGTGTCAGATGTGTCAGATGCCCTCCCGTCCTCCTGTGTCCCTGTGTGTCAGATGTGTCAGATGCCCTCTCTGTGTGTTGCAGATTACCTGAACGTGCTGATGAACTGTCAGTGGCAGAGTTTGCACTGTGAGGTGGAGGGCCAAGTCCTGAACATGTTCGCCCACAGAGACCAGGACCCAGGTCTAGACCTGGGCCCGGATCTAGACCCCAGTCTAGATGGCCAGGATCAGAACCAGGGCTCAGACCACGGCAGGACCCCCCAGTACACACTGTCTCTGATTGGCTGTGAGGTCACGTCTGGCCCGGACACGCCGCACTCCTACAGGATCACACTGAGCACGCTCAGTGAGGCGCCCGCCGTGCTGGAGGTGAGAGCCAATCAGAGGAGAGAGGGAGGGACAGCCAATTAGAAGAGTTTATCACTCACCTCTGTGTGGCCTCCTCAACCACATTAAACCTCTCTGTTCATTATACAAATAAGCTCTATTCACGCTTACGTCACAAACCAGGAAGACGTTTGGTCACTGCGCATCACATACTGGGAAGGATCCTCTGACAAAGTGACAAAATAAATAAAAAAGATTAAATATGTACGTGTGTGTGTGTGTGTGTGTGTGTGTGTGTGTGTGTGTGTGTGTGTGTACAGGTGTGCAGTGCAGACGAGAGAGAACGCTGGATCAAACTCTTGAAGGAATCAGCCAATCAGAGACAAGAGTCCAGCCCACCCGTGGACAGCGCCCCCCTCAGGTAAGATCTGGTTCTGACCTGGTATAGACCTGATTGAGTCCTGATTCAGTCCTGGTTCAGTCGTGGTTCAGTCCTGGTTTTGTTTCCTCAGTGGTCTCCAGACGCGGAGGTTCCCTTCACCAAACACTTACGAAACACAACTGTACTCCAACAGCTCAGTCCTACAGCACCAGGTCAGTACTACTACTACTACTACTACTACTACTACTACTACTACTACTACTACTGCTGCTGCTGCAAAAGCTTTTGGTAAAACTAATATGGATGTTTATGTTTTTTCAGCTCCACAAAGACTCCAGCCAAGACTCAGGGACCTACGGCAACAACAGCCTCAACCGTCAGTACCTCGAGGTCTTAGTTGAGCCCTGGTTTAAACCTGGTCAAAGACTTGAGACTTGCAAAACGACGACTTGGTCCCACCTCTGCCAGATTCCATTCTTTTATAATTTATTAATACACCAAAATTTTATTCCTTTTTTGATTCGAGAAATTGAAAATCAAACCAAAATTGTTGTACGAAATCACATAAAAAGAAAAGATTTTCCGAGTCCTTATCCCCTGTGTCACAAAACACACGTTTACATGTCTCAAACTTGAATTTTTGTCTCAGGAGCCTGTGTTGTTGTGGTGTTTGTTTTGGTTCAGGGCGGAGGGGCGGGGAGCAGCGGTGCGTTCAGAGACTCGAGCTCGCTGGGAAATCTCACGCCTCAAACGGAGTGAAGCTGCGGGCGGAGTCAGAAGTCAACCTGGCAACCAAAAACAAGCGCACCTCCTTCAGGCAGTCACTGGCCATCTGCACCGAGCGCGCCCAGGTGAGAGACACTCCTGCTCGTCTCCATGGAGATACATTGAACATTCCAAGTGAAGCATTAGAAATCCTGCACAAGACGCATTCTTGTGGCTTTAATACATGCATCCCGAATTTCAGACTTCTGGTCATCGTGTAACACATACTGGGAAGGATCCTCCGAAAAAGTGAGCATCAAACCACCATGTTTGTTTTTCAGTGGGATGCGTCTATTGTCAAAGTCGATCTTTTCAAGTCTTTTGAACCATATCACTTTTGTTTCTGGTTCTGATATTGTCATATTTTAGTTTTGGGATTCGGACATCGTAATTGTGTGGTTGTTGGATCCTAACAGTGGAAACAAACAAAAGTGATATGGTTCAAAAGACTTTAAACTTTGGCTCTGACAATAGACGCATCCCACTGGAAAAACAAACATGGCAATTTGATGCTCACTTTTTCGCATTTCATTGTATGCATTATGTGATGACTGGAAGTCTGAAATTCAGGATGCATGTATTCCCTTTTAAACATACTTTAGTTGCCTTAGAATTAATATTACACATTTTCGAGTCTACATTTGGAAATAAATGTTCTAAATTTCACCACCATCTCCAGTGAGCGCCTTCTGCTGTCAGAAACGGAAAGGGACGTTTACAAAGAAAACAAATGCTGTACTAACAGAGCCATGTATTCATTGTGAACGATTCCATGCTGCTATTCTGACCTGCTGCGATTTAGACATTTACATCTAATTGTCGGAATAATGGCATAAACCGTCCCAATACTTTGACTTTTTTTTTTTTCATTAGGCGATCTGCCTAAATAAATAACCAATCAAGTTCATAGCGGCAGCTCAATGAGATGACAGGGTTAGGTCTCACAGCCCAAAACACACATTTGACCACCTACATATAACAATGAAATCTCAGTGTATACACATTAGGTCCCTATTTTGTTTTTACGTGTTATATATTTGTAGTAACACTGGTCTCTTCTTCTTCCTTCAGTCCAGTTTCCTGACGCCTCTGCTGAGGAGAACGGCTTCAGCCAAACTCTCTCTGAAGCGCGCTCCGTCGGTGCTGTTCCTGGAGACCGGACGTGTCTCCAACAGGAAGAAGGTACTTTTAAAGATGCATTATGGAACTTTACAAACTGCCCCCTGTGGCTCCTCTGGGGTCACAGTTTATAGAGAATGGGTCGTAATATTAGAACAATACTTCCTTCTGTAGCGCTGGTTTATGTTTGTTGTTTCTTTACCTTTGCGGGTTTGTGCCGTCCATTACAATACTTTTATCTTATGTTAGGTTCTTTTTACAGACCAAGAGTTTGTTTTTCATCCCTGACAGTTTCGACTGCTCACTAGCGCTCTTCTTCAGAGTGGTCACGTGATGTTGCTGTGACATGTTTTGGCACGTCCTCCTACCGGTGGAGGCAGGATGACAGCACCAAACAAAAATAAAACTGAAAAAAAGAGCACAGGCATGGTAACATTACTGTACATCAGGGGCATAACAAAAAAAGTGCAGAGGGCAATGAGAAAACACAATATCAACACAGTGAAACCGTACAGAAAACTCAGACAATTACTCATCCACCCGAAAGACAAAATAGAACCAGAGCATAAATGTAATGTCATATACGAAATACCTCCATGTCCTTCAATAAAACACACATCGGGGAAACAGGGTTCAGTGCACGAAAAAAGGAACATAGAACAGAACACGAGAGGGAAACAGCGAAGGCGAAACGCGGGCAACAAAACACAAAGCAGAACAGGAACAACTTAAACCGGCTTCTCTGACCAGTGTAAAAGAGAAAAACACATTCTGGACCAGGACGGAGCAAACATCACTGCGACAGAGGAAAATAAACATTGTCTCTGGATTATAGAGCCAATTGAAATACGGAAACGTGCCCACAGAACGATAAACCAGGACGAGGGGCTTTTTTACTCTCACACACTGGGATACTGTCCTGAGGAAGTCGGACTGCAGATGGCGCTGTTGTCCTGCCTCCACTGCTAAGAAGACAGTGCCAAAACCTGTTCAAATCAACTGAGCGACACGACAGAGAAACGTCACGTGACTCTGAGGAAGAGCGCAGGGAGCAGTCGAAACTGTCAGGTATGAAAAACAAACGCTTGGTCAGTAAAAAGAACCTAATAACATAAAATATCGGAAGACCAAATTAATCTCATTGGACCCATACTTGTATCTGTTGTCTGTTACCATTGTCTGTATCCTTAACCTTACCATTGTTGGTTTGCTTATGTTATACTACCAAGCTAAATAGAATAGAATAGAATAGAATAGAAAGCCTTTATTGTCATTATTCAATAGTATAATGAAATTCAGAGCTGCTCCATCAAGTGCAAGAATTAATAATAAATAAAACAAATTATCAGTTCTCATTCAGTATGGTGACAGCTTTGGGGAAGAAGTTGTCCCTGAGTCTATTGGTCCTCACTGGAATTGACCTGAAGCACCTGTCAGAAGGCTGAGACAGCTAACAGCTAATAATGTCCTGTGCAGTGTTGGTGACCCTCTGCAGACGCTTCCTGTCGGCCTCTGTGCAGCTCGAGTGCCACACTGACACTGCAGAGGTCAGCAGGTGACCAGTGGTGGAAGGACAGAAGGTCACCAGCAGCTTGTGTTTAGTCGCTCCTTCCTGCTGCTGGGCCTTTTTGACCAGTGCTGAGGTGTCGACTGACAGTGTTGGGAAGGTGACTTTTAAAATGTAATCCCCTACAGATTACAGATTACATACCCCAAAATGTAGTTTGTAACGTAATCCATTAAATTACTTAAAGTGAGTAACGTAATCTGAATACTTTGGATTACTTGATTTACTGTAGAGAAGCAAAAATTAGGAAATCTTCACATGAGATGTTTCGTCTGCTAAAAGACAATAAAAAGCCCAGACTTTCCTTAACCATATTAAAAATATTATTGATAGAAGAGGAGGAGACATGGTCTGCACGGCATGGTTTCGTCCTGTTAAATCCTGTTTTAGTCCTGTTTTAGTCCTGGTTTAGATCTAGTTTAGACCTGGTTTTAGTCCTGGTTTAGACCTGGGTTCAGTCCTGGTTCAATCCTGAATTAGTCCTGGTTTAGACTTGGTAAAAAAAAAAAAAAGTGATTTAGCCCAAAATGTGAAAACAAGAAATTACCGCCCTGTAATCCAGTTATTTCAACAAAGTAACTGTAATCCAATTAACACTCACTGAAACAGTAACTGTAACCGAATACAGTTACTCATAATTTGTACTCTGATTACTTAACTCCGGTACATGTAATCTGTTACTCTCCAACACTGTCGACTGACCAGGAGAGATCCGCAGAGATGTGAACCCCAAGGAATCGGAAGGACTCCACTCGCTCCACACTTTGGTCGCTGATGTACAGAAAGTCCAGGATGAGTTCTTTAGTCTTGGTGATGTTCAGTGCCAAGTTGTTAGTTGCACATCACTCACTGAGTTTCAGGACCTGATCTCTGTAGGCGCTTCATTCCCCTCTGGTATCAGCCCCACCACCGTCGTGTCATCAGCGAGTTTGACAGTGATGTTCTGTGGGTGGGTGGGACTGCAGTCGTCAGTGTAGATATATAACAGTGACTCTTTGTCTTCACTTGTAAATAGTTCATATGGTTTAATGCAAAATGTCTGAAAAATGCAAAAGAAAGCTCATTGTGTTAGATTAGAAGAGTGGGGGTGGGATTAAATAAGTTTTCTTCTTCCCACTCCTTTTCGGACAATTTTTTTGTTGTGGTTCTATTTCTATTATGATTTCACTTATGTTCTATGCTCCATTGTATAAGTATGTAACTCTCTACTTGCCCAAAATAAATACATGAATAAAAAATAAACAAAATAATATATCCATAAACTCACAGAGGAGCCCTTTGTACAGCAGTGTTGGGACAAACACGATCACAAACACAGGTGCAATAAAAAAAAACATTTCCACAAAACCTATCCACTTTTCTATGTTGATAAGAGGATTAAAATGATTATTCAAGGGACAAAAATATGCAATTAATATGCGATTAATTTGCGATTAATCTCATGAATGTCATAGTTAATCGCAAATTAATTTATATTTGTTTTATTTATTATTAGTTAGTTATTAGTTATTATTATTAGTAGCATTTTATATTTTTTATATTTATTTATATTTATTTTAATTCATCTATTAAATATTTTTATTGACTGACAAAACTAGTTTAGATAAAGTTTAAACATTCCACTGAAACATTCCAGACAAAGCAATAACAGAGCAGAAAAGTCCCACAGTGAATCTTTAACATGTAAAACTAAAGTAATGTTTTTGTTTCGCAGGAGTGGGAGACCAAAGCTGCAGCCTGAGCTTCACCAGAACTGAACCTGTACAGAGAAAATACAGCGTCAGAAGAACAGGAGGAGCTTAAAGTGAACTATGGATCGTTTGTTTTCATTTTTGTATTAATATTGTTTATTTGTCAGTTTTATGTCCCATCCTCAGGACCACCTCACACTGCCACTGTGGTTTTGTACAATGTTTTATAAAGAGCACTTTTATATGGAAAACAATCACTCATTTATAATTAAACTATTTTAACCTGTTTTAGTTTTGTATTTTTATTCAACTGTTTCAGGACATTTACTGTCAGACGTGTTTCTTAGTGTTGTAGTCAAGACCAAGACCAGTCCAAGACCACAGGGTCCCGAGACCAGGACAAGACCAAGACTTTTAAAGGATGAGACCGAGACAAGATCAAGACTGAGATAAGACCAAGACCACGGCCCATCAAAACCAAATCGAGACCGTGCAGGTTTATTGCCAAAAGCAGCGGCCTTAATGAAATATAATCAAGTCCAAGCGCCTTCAAAACCAAGACAAGGCCAAGTCCAAGCACCTTCAAAACCAAGACAAGGCCAAGTCCAAGCACCTTCAAGACCGAGACAAGGCCAAGTCCAAGCACCTTCAAGACAGAGACAAGATCGAGTCCAAGCACTTTCAAGACCGAGACAAGGTCAAGTCCAAGCACCTTCAAAACTGAGACAAGATCGAGTCCAAGCACTTTCAAGACTGAGACAAGACCAAGTCCAAGCACCTTCAAGACCAAGACAAGACCAAGTCCAAGTACCTTCAAGACTGAGACAAGATCGAGTCCAAGCGCCTTCAAGACCAAGATAAGGCCCAGTCCATGTGTCTTCAAGACCGAGACAAGACCAAGTCCAAGCACATTCAAGACTGAGACAAGACCGAGTCCAAGTACCTTTAAGACCGAGAAAAGACCAAGTCCAAGCACCTTCAAGACCGAGACAAGGCCAAGTCCAAGTACCTTCAAGACCGAGACAAGGTCAAGTCCAAGTACCTTCAAGACCGAGACAAGACCGAGTCCAAGCACCTTCAAGACCGAGACAAGACCGAGTCCAAGCACCTTCAAGACCGAGACAAGGCCAAGTCCAAGCACCTTCAAGACCAAGACAAGGTCAAGTCCAAGTACCTTCAAGACCGAGACAAGACCGAGTCCAAGCACCTTCAAGACCGAGACAAGACCGAGTCCAAGCACCTTCAAGACCGAGACAAGACCAAGTCCAAGCACCTTCAAGACCGAGACAAGACCGAGTCCAAGCACCTTCAAGACCGAGACAAGGCCAAGTCCAAGTACCTTCAAGACCGAGACAAGGTCAAGTCCAAGTACCTTCAAGACCGAGACAAGGCCAAGTCCAAGTACCTTCAAGACCGAGACAAGGTCAAGTCCAAGTACCTTCAAGACCGAGACAAGACTGAGTCCAAGCACTTTCAAGACCGAGAAAAGCCAAGTCCAAGTACCTTCAAGACCAAGACAAAACCAAGCCCAAGCGTCTTCAAGACCGAGACAAGACCAAGACCACAAAAAAAAAAAAAAAAATGTCTCAAGGCCGTTCTCAAGGTCGTTCTCAAGGTCGTTCTCAAGGCCGTTCTCAAGGCCAGTCTCGAGACTCAAGACTGATCATCTTAGCAGCTCTATTTGAAGCTTGGTTGTTGGCAGAGTTGAGGTATTTAGTAGTAATTTAAAAGCAGAAATTAAATTATTTTATCTTTTATATTTATTTATCATTTCAAAGTTAATTATGAAAGTTCAAAATAAAAATAGAATGAAAACTCACAGAAAGTGTTTAAAAATGCATTTTATTTTAATTCCTGTTTTCCACAACAACACAGCGTCAGACAGGAAACATCCCTTTCAAAATAAAACACTCCAAAATGTACAAAAAGCAAAACAATCTTTGTGTCGTCATGGCGCTAACTACTTCCTGCTTTACACTTTACATCGGCCAATCAGAACAAAGCAAAAGAAACGTCTCATTAAAAGGAAAACAAAAGAATCACCAACATTTCAGAATAAAAGTAAAGTGACTGATGCTCGCGGTTTTATTTTGGCGACGCTCAAACAGGAAGCAGCGATTTAAAGGTGTTTTTATTATTCTATTGCTGTGCACAAAGTTTAACAAAGTGTCCAGAGGTTTTTTTTTTTTATTTATGAATTTATTTAAACGAAACAACAACAAAAACATAAGAAAGTGCGATATTTTAGTTGGTTTTAAAGCGCCGCCCACTGAGAATGGTTAGTTCTGATTGGTTAATCCAAGCGTCATTCCTACAGAGTAAGTTAAAGTGCACGTGACAGTTTTTAATTCTGATTTGGTTTCTTGGAAGTGTCGGTTTATAGAAAAAAGTCGAATAAAAGCACAAAAATACAGAAAGTAGCGCTCTGTTTGTCATGAACAGAAAACTCCAAAATGCAGAAACTATTTACGCACAAGGAAGGACTTTTTATGAGGGTCTCCAGGCTTTTTTTTTTTTTTTTTTTTTTATCTCCGGTGAGCTTCGTTTACAAAATTAAAATGCCAGAGAGTTTGTCATTTTAGCATTTTAGTCGCAAGAAATTGAGTTTTATAAGAGCCACGGCTTTAGACAGGAACAGTTAGAGGTTTATAAAACATTATTAACACTATTATCTGTTTATGAGAGCAGAAAGTAAAATTAGGCATAAAAATTATACATTTACAATTTTAATAGTATTTCTATTCATCAAATTTTTGTTAATTACTGGGCCGTGGGTCGTTTGGTTCCGGGCCCCCTCCTCCTATACGGCGTGTGGATCGTGCCTCTAAACTAGAACTAAACCAGAACTAAAACTAGGACTAAACCAGGACTAAACCAGATCTAAACCAGGTCTAAACAAGGAGTACACCAGGACTAAAGCAGGACTAAACCAGAACTCAAACTAGTTCTAAACCAGGACTAAACCAGGTCTAAACGAGGACTAAACCAAGTCTAAACCAGAACTAAACCAGGTCTAAGCCAAGACTAAACCAGAACTAAACCAGAACTAAACCAGGTCTAAACTGGGACTAAACCAGATCTAAACCAGGTCTAAACAGGTTTAAACCAGGACTAAACCAGGAGGTCTAAACCAGAACTAAAACCAAGACTAAACCAGGACTAAATCAGGTTTAAACCAGGACTAAACAGGTTTAAACCAGATCTAAACCAGGACTAAACTAGGTCTAAATAAGGACTAAACCAGAATTAAACCAGATCTAAACCAGGACTAAACTAGGTTTAAACTAGGTCTAAACCAGGTCTAAACCAGGACTAAACTAGGTTTAAACTAGGTCTAAACCAGGCCTAAACCAGGACTGAACCAGGACTGAACAAGGTCTAAACTGGGGTAAAACTGAAAAAGGACTGAAACGGGACTAAACCAGGACTATACTAGAACTAAACCAGAATTAAACCCTAAAGCCTAAACCAAAGCTAAACCAGAGTTAATTCTACGTTTTATTTTGGTAGTTTCTGTGAATAGGTGCGCCTCTCCACAGACCCGAACTGTAACGTGGCATTGTGCTGTAACCTGCTCGTCTCCCTTGTGCAAAACGGGTTTAATCTGTACTGTGGAACATTCTAGACAAGCAGGTGGCCGACCCTCAGTCAGAAATGTTACGCAGTGCGCCTTTAAATCTATACAAATTTTAACTGTCACGTGCACTTTAACCCTGAAACGACGGCTCAAACTGACAATATAATCTCAAATAACACAAAAAACAAAATAAAACATGTCAGTGGAATTAAAAAATTGCACGTAATTAATAAAAACGTTAATCTAAATTATTAAATCTGACTTTTCGGAGCTTTTCGTGTTATTGTAGTTTCTTCTCTTTGACCCTTTGAAGTGAAAACCTTTAAAACTGACCTTAACTTTCTATTTCTGCCTTGAACGTTTCCCAAAATAATTCCATTTCAAAATAAAAGTCTGTATTTTTAAACCTCCAGACACCTAAAGAGTCTCTCGATTCTCATTGGTCGGTCAGATGCTGGTGGGTTCGTTAAAAACTACATGTCCCATCATGCTTAGCTGCTGTTTCTGTGGGCAGTGACTCTGGCTCAAGAGACGCGAAGGAAAAGAAGAAGAGACGATCCGAGCAAAAACCAAGACTGAACCAGAACTAAACCAGGACTGAACCAGCACCAAACCTGAATGAAACCAGGACTGAACCAGGACTAAACTAGGTCTAAACCAGGACTAAACCAGGACTAAATCAGGACTGAACCAAGACTAAACCAGGACTGAACCAAGACTGAACCAGGACTAACCCAGGACTGAACCAGTACTGATCAAGGTCTAAACTAGGTCTAAACCAGGACCAAACCAGGACTAAACCAGTACTGAACCAAGACTAAACCAGGACTGAACCAAGACTGAACCAGGACTAAACCAGGACTGAACCAGGACTGAACCAGGACTAAACCAGGACTGAACCAGGACTAAACCAGGACTTAACCAGGACTTAACCAGGACTAAACCAGGACTTAACCAGGACTGAACCAGGACTAACCAGGACTGAACCAGGACTAAACCAGGACTTAACCAGGACTTAACCAGGACTAAACCAGGACTTAACCAGGACTTAACCAGGACTAAACCAGGACTAAACCAGGACTTAACCAGGACTAAACCAGGACTATACTAGAACTAAACCAGAATTAAACCAAGACTAAACCAAATCTAAACCAGGGTTAATTCTAAGTTTTATTTTGTTTTTTTTCCGTGATCAGATCGTCTCGACTCTTCTCTCTCGCGTCTCGTCCTGACGAATAACGAATGACATCACTGTGACATCATCGGGGCGCGGGGCCAATAGGATCGCTCCTCTTTGCGTCCGGCGGTTTCGGCGGCCGCGGACTTCAGCGAGACGACGCAACAGTGTCCGGAAGAATCGCACATCGCAGTCCGTTCCGCCGCAGTGCCCACAGCGCCCACCAGAGGGAGGCGTCGGGCGCTGCGTTCAGGTGCTCCTCAGATTCAGGAATTTTATTTGGAATGTTGAAATAATGACATCACAGAAAAACCAAAGAGGAACTGGTCCAGAGCTCCAATAGTCGACTAAACTGTAAAGAGGGGGTACTGCACAAAATGTACCTTTTTTTGTTGTTGTTTTTTTTTAGTAGTTTTTTTTGTTAGGTTTTAGCATGCAAGTTTGAGTAATCTAGTGATCTCTCCTGGGCCCAAGTCAAACCCTCCCTCCTGTGCTCAAATGAAACAGAAAACGCACACCAAACATCTTGTAGAGGTGCAAATGCAATAAAAATGAAAAAAAAAAAAAAAAAAGAAAAGAAAAATACACTCAGATGGTCGATGTCCGAAAGTTCTTTTTTTTAATTTTTAAATTACGTTTTGGCAAAAAGTCTCGTCAATAGTCTGATCATTTCTCTCGCTTTGGACCACAGTGTACCAAATATGTATGTATACTAGGGCTGGGTATCGTTAAGAAGTTGCCGATACGATACGTTTTTCGATACAGTGCACTTTCAATTCAATACAAT